GGAGGGGTCCATCCTGGACAGAGAGGAGGGGTCCATCCTGGACAGAGAGGAGGGGTCCACCCTGGACAGAGAGGAGGGGTCCATCCTGGACAGAGAGGAGGGGTCCACCCTGGACAGAGAGGAGGGGTCCACCCTGGACAGAGAGGAGGGGTCCATCCTGGACAGAGAGGAGGCGTCCACCCTGGACAGAGAGGCGGGGTCCACCCTGGACAGAGAGGAGGGGTCCATCCTGGACAGAGAGGAGGGGTCCACCCTGGACAGAGAGGAGGCGTCCACCCTGGACAGAGAGGAGGGGTCCATCCTGGACAGAGAGGAGGGGTCCATCCTGGACAGAGAGGAGGGGTCCATCCTGGACAGAGAGGCGGGGTCCACCCTGGACAGAGAGGAGGGGTCCATCCTGGACAGAGAGGAGGCGTCCACCCTGGACAGAGAGGAGGGGTCCATCCTGGACAGAGAGGAGGGGTCCACCCTGGACAGAGAGGAGGGGTCCACCCTGGACAGAGAGGAGGGGTCCACCCTGGACAGAGAGGAGGGGTCCATCCTGGACAGAGAGGCGGGGTCCACCCTGGACAGAGAGGAGGGGTCCACCCTGGACAGAGAGGAGGGGTCCATCCTGGACAGAGAGGAGGGGTCCACCCTGGACAGAGAGGAGGGGTCCATCCTGGACAGAGAGGAGGGGTCCACCCTGGACAGAGAGGAGGGGTCCATCCTGGACAGAGAGGAGGGGTCCACCCTGGACAGAGAGGCGGGGTCCATCCTGAACAGAGAGGAGGGGTCCACCCTGGACAGAGAGGAGGGGTCCATCCTGGACAGAGAGGAGGGGTCCACCCTGGACAGAGAGGAGGGGTCCACCCTGGACAGAGAGGAGGGGTCCACCCTGGACAGAGAGGAGGCGTCCACCCTGGACAGAGAGGAGGGGTCCACCCTGGACAGAGAGGAGGGGTCCACCCTGGACAGAGAGGAGGGGTCCACCCTGGACAGAGAGGAGGGGTCCATCCTGGACAGAGAGGAGGGGTCCATCCTGGACAGAGAGGAGGGGTCCACCCTGGACAGAGAGGAGGGGTCCACCCTGGACAGAGAGGAGGGGTCCACCCTGGACAGAGAGGAGGGGTCCATCCTGGACAGAGAGGCGGGGTCCACCCTGGACAGAGAGGAGGGGTCCACCCTGGACAGAGAGGAGGGGTCCATCCTGGACAGAGAGGAGGGGTCCACCCTGGACAGAGAGGAGGGGTCCATCCTGGACAGAGAGGAGGGGTCCACCCTGGACAGAGAGGAGGGGTCCACCCTGGACAGAGAGGAGGGGTCCACCCTGGACAGAGAGGAGGGGTCCACCCTGGACAGAGAGGAGGGGTCCACCCTGGACAGAGAGGAGGCGTCCACCCTGGACAGAGAGGAGGGGTCCATCCTGGACAGAGAGGAGGCGTCCACCCTGGACAGAGAGGCGGGGTCCATCCTGGACAGAGAGGAGGCGTCCACCCTGGACAGAGAGGAGGGGTCCACCCTGGACAGAGAGGAGGGGTCCACCCTGGACAGAGAGGAGGGGTCCACCCTGGACAGAGAGGAGGGGTCCATCCTGGACAGAGAGGAGGGGTCCACCCTGGACAGAGAGGAGGGGTCCATCCTGGACAGAGAGGAGGCGTCCACCCTGGACAGAGAGGAGGGGTCCATCCTGGACAGAGAGGCGGGGTCCATCCTGGACAGAGAGGAGGGGTCAATCCTGGACAGAGAGGAGGGGTCCATCCTGGACAGAGAGGAGGGGTCCATCCTGGACAGAGAGGAGGCGTCCACCCTGGACAGAGAGGCGGGGTCCATCCTGGACAGAGAGGAGGGGTCCATCCTGGACAGAGAGGAGGGGTCCACCCTGGACAGAGAGGAGGGGTCCATCCTGGACAGAGAGGAGGGGTCCACCCTGGACAGAGAGGAGGGGTCCATCCTGGACAGAGAGGAGGCGTCCACCCTGGACAGAGAGGAGGGGTCCACCCTGGACAGAGAGGAGGGGTCCATCCTGGACAGAGAGGAGGGGTCCACCCTGGACAGAGAGGAGGGGTCCACCCTGGACAGAGAGGAGGGGTCCACCCTGGACAGAGAGGCGGGGTCCATCCTGGACAGAGAGGAGGGGTCCACCCTGGACAGAGAGGAGGGGTCCACCCTGGACAGAGAGGAGGGGTCCACCCTGGACAGAGAGGAGGGGTCCACCCTGGACAGAGAGGAGGCGTCCACCCTGGACAGAGAGGAGGGGTCCATCCTGGACAGAGAGGAGGGGTCCATCCTGGACAGAGAGGAGGCGTCCACCCTGGACAGAGAGGAGGGGTCCACCCTGGACAGAGAGGAGGCGTCCACCCTGGACAGAGAGGAGGGGTCCATCCTGGACAGAGAGGAGGGGTCCACCCTGGACAGAGAGGAGGGGTCCACCCTGGACAGAGAGGAGGCGTCCACCCTGGACAGAGAGGAGGGGTCCATCCTGGACAGAGAGGAGGGGTCCACCCTGGACAGAGAGGAGGGGTCCATCCTGGACAGAGAGGAGGGGTCCACCCTGGACAGAGAGGAGGCGTCCACCCTGGACAGAGAGGAGGGGTCCACCCTGGACAGAGAGGCGGGGTCCATCCTGGACAGAGAGGAGGGGTCCACCCTGGACAGAGAGGAGGGGTCCACCCTGGACAGAGAGGAGGGGTCCATCCTGGACAGAGAGGAGGGGTCCACCCTGGACAGAGAGGAGGGGTCCATCCTGGACAGAGAGGAGGCGTCCACCCTGGACAGAGAGGAGGGGTCCATCCTGGACAGAGAGGCGGGGTCCATCCTGGACAGAGAGGAGGGGTCAATCCTGGACAGAGAGGAGGGGTCCATCCTGGACAGAGAGGAGGGGTCCATCCTGGACAGAGAGGAGGCGTCCACCCTGGACAGAGAGGCGGGGTCCATCCTGGACAGAGAGGAGGGGTCCACCCTGAACAGAGAGGAGGGGTCCATCCTGGACAGAGAGGAGGGGTCCACCCTGGACAGAGAGGCGGGGTCCATCCTGGACAGAGAGGAGGGTTCCATCCTGGACAGGTCTCCAGTCCATTGCAGGGCAACACAGAGACAAACAGGACAAACAACCATCCACACTAACCTCTAAGAAGAATTTAGAGAAACCAATTAACCTAACAGTGTTTTTGGACTGTGAGAGGAAGCTGGAGTACCCGGAGAGAACCCACGCAGGCTCAGGGAGAACATGCAAACTCCATGCAGAAAGACCCTGGGCCGGGAATTGAACCCGAAACCTTCTTGCTGAAAGGCAGCAGTGCTCCCACTGCCTCACTGAACAGCCGAAAGTTAAAACCATCAAAATAATTAGTTTCATGCGGAAAATTCATTTCTTTGTGGTTGGACTCGGTGCTGCCCCAACTTGTTGATAACCACATACCAAAAACTGTTTTTCTACATGATGCAAAGTTAAATTTAACACTATTTGTTATAAAACTAAGAAAATTTAGTTCCAGGGAGTTCAATATAGTAGAAAAATGTTCCTTTCATAGGGTAGTGCAGTAACCAGTATGAGGTTTAAAGCATCTTTCCTGAACATGTTTTCCTGCATTCCTTTTATAATTTAAGTAGTTTTACTTGAGTAAAGAGCTTAAGTTGATACTCTAACTTCTACAAAAGTGTTTTTAAACAGCAGGATTTCTGCTTGAGTAATAAATAATACTTTAGACACTTCTGGGCTCCTCTGTGCAAAGAACATTATTCCAGAAGACTTTTTCTGCATTCCTTCTCAAACTTCTCTATTGTTCCAGAAAAGTTAAAAAAACTATCAAGTTTCCAGACGTTTCGCTTCCCATCCAGGAAGATGGATGGAAGGACAGTTTCTCTATTGTTCTTGCTTTCCTTTCTTTAAAGGTGAAACTTGTGCAGACTCTTTCTGATTGGAAAATGATGCACTTCCATGTCAGCTTTAGCAAAACTCACAGTAGGTTAGGCTTAAGATGAAGAGACTTCTTAAAACATGCTGATCTGATTTCAGGAAGATTTGCATGGGCAACAAAGCCTGGGGGTGTTGAAGGGCCTCTATAAAGCCTATTTTAATGCATTTTAGTAAATAAATATGGGTATTAACTATCTTTACACCACTTTAAAAATTCGAATCAAAATCTCATGTTATGAATATTTTAGCACAGTGTTCTATTTATCCCTGACATCTTAGCAGCAGCACGCCCTTTTTTCCATTTCCTGTGACAGTTTACAGAAATAGTTCCCGAATAGCGTAGACATCCAGGTAGTTTCATTTAAGCCAAGCCCTTTTTTTTTTGACTTGGTCATCTGTATCCAACACCCAAAAGCAGTTTTGGTATATTAGTTGTTTAGGAGACGATTTATTACTTTTGTCAGCTATAATAATTTTTTCATGGTGCAAAAAGCCTCAGTTTTTGCCTTCCTCCAAGAGCAGGAGACGTAAACAAAAAACAGGCCGGAGGAGCTAAACAAAAAACTGAACATTTCAGGTTTTAGGTGATTGGAGCTGAAGGTGTCAGTGCAGAGGAATGAAGGCCTCAGAAGGTCCTTGGCTCCTGTCCTCTCAGCTCTGTTTGGTAGAAAGTCTCCATCTTTCAGAAGTGTGGAATAAAGATATTTCTGTGGCAGGTGGTGCATTTACTTCAGCATATTCTGAATACCTCCCTAAGTACTTCTGCATTCTGCCTGACAGACCTGGAATGCTGACCGACCTCTATTGCTTCATTTATTCTCCTTTAGTCTGGAAGATTCACACCTGATTTACAGATCCCACCTAAAGATTAAAGGAAAGGAAAAGAAAAATCTAATCATAAATATGTTTCTTTTTCCTCAGCTGCTCATAGTTTAATACAGACAAAGCGGCGGTTATTGTGAGGAAGGTGAATTCACAGAGACTGGTGGTGAGTCATCGCGCGCGCAGCTCCAGCCCGGTGGCATTCCTGCTGGGACATAAGAAAAAACAAAACAGTCCTATCTGCAGAGAGTCACAGTATTACGTTAACTGAAGCCAGACCCGTTTGTCAAGCTGGACTGTTTTCTTCCACATGAGGAGCGAGTTTTCCAACTCACCTTATTCCAGACCTGAAACCATCTCCAAAGCGCACAGAGCAACCCACGCAGCATGACAAGAGCCACGCGTTGAGGGTAGTTTTTAGTTTATTCAAAAAGTTTTATTTTCCTGGGATTTAGGATGAGAGGCTGAGGAAGAAAACTATTCAGTCAATTTTCTTCTCTTGTTTTGGGATCTTAACCTCAGGATGGATGAGGTGAGTTGGCCTGAATCAGCCACATGTTTCCATACAAACTACTGACCCACGTTGGTCCTTTATCTCTTTACAAATGATGCCTTTAAGCTTCTTTTATGTAGAAATAATTAATAATAGGCTGCTAACCTCGGTTTAGTTTAGTGTCAAAAGCTGTGATTGTTTATATTTTCTTGAACAAAAATCTCTGATAAAAGCCTCTTTATAGGGCCTCAGTGAAATACTTTGAAAATCATCATTTCAATCCAATAGTTATTGGAATCAGGACAAGACCTTATTACCTATTAAATATTAACAATATGGATATTTTGATGGTAAAGATTAATGTCAATGTAATAACAAGAAACACCAACTAGCCCGAATATATTAAGAAAAATAACAAAGGTGCTTCTAGAATAAATTCATGAAAAAAACAAAGTAAAAGAAACACATTTATTGGCCCAACATCACCTTAGAGGCATTAATGCTGATACTGGCACTGACATTTTTTAGTTTATAAAACTAAATATAATAGTTAACTAGGCTTATTATTTTTTTTACTTTACGTTTTAATGTTTTACATTCTTGACTTTTTTCCAACTTAATTTCCAGTAGGTAATATATCATTAAAGGGCTTCTCTAATTGGTCAAATGAAAAATAAGATGTACAGCCATGTAGCAGCATCTTTGCTGAATGGCTGGATATAGATCTAGTGCTTCTAGACCTCAAAAATCAAAAAAGGAAATTTGCCCTATAAAGGGTTAAATTCATCTCATTGTTTAGTTTAAACACCTGTGCATCGGAGCATGTGATTGGCTGATAGGTTTAGAAGTTAAACTGAGTTATCAGGATGGTGAGGATTCATTGGACTTTATTTGTGTTTATTTATTTATTTATTTTTACTTTATTTTTATTGATTATACAACAAAAACATGACAATGATTAATGTCCTTTAGTGAGTCCTTTAGCATTTGTCACACAAAAAAGCATTAGACAAACAATAAATAATATTATATAAAAACTATTTGTTCATTTACACTTTGGACATACTAAAAGTAAAAAAAAATTAAATAAAAAAAACACACTTTATGGAGTTTCCACCAGTCAATTAGAAGTGTCCACACCTTTATTCATAACAAATGGGGTAAAGTAGAACAAAAAAGAGGGGGGGATAGGGGTTCTTTATGTCTTCAGTTGATCTAAAATGGGTTTCCAAATTTTGTAATATTTTTGAGGACAGTTTATTAAATCAAATCAAATTTTTTCTATGTGCAAGATTCTTGTAAATTCCTCGATCCAAGATTCAAAATTAGGTGGCCTGTCAGCCTTCCGCTGCTTCAATATGCATCTTATGGCAATCAGGAGACCACTGCTGTTACATCACGACCCAATTTGTTAAGAGTGTCCGAGACGCCAAAGAGGGCCGTTTCTGGGTCGGGTTTTATGTTAACTTTAAGAGCGCAGGAGTACCATCCAGATATTGAGATCCAGAAACTTTGCGTCTCGCTTCGTAAATGAATTAAAGTCAGAAATATGAAGATAATATGTGGTTGATAAATTTTTTTTTCTGTTACACTTTTAGCAAGAGGAAGCATTAGACTTCCAGGCGCTGAGAGCCAAGTTCCAGGACAAGGAGTTCCTTCTGGGGCCACCAAAGACCAAACCTAGTGTCCCAGAGAAACCAAAGGTCATCCCCCCTCCCACGAGTCCCACTCACCATCTTCCATCAGGAGCACGCCCCTCCCTGCTCTCCTCCATCAACCATGCCTTGGAATCAAAGACGCTGAACGCCCCCAGAGTGGTCTTTAAGGATGAGAAGAAGGATAACAAAAAGCTTCTTATCCATAATAACTCAAAAGCCAAAGAAAAGTCTGACATAAAGCCTAAGGAGACGAAGGATAAGACTAAAGAGAGTAAGGAGAAGCTGAATGAGAACTCCGTGGATCACAAGGAGAAGAACGGTAAGAAGCTTCCATTCGTCGGGATACAGAAAGAGAGCACAGCTGAGCTGGTACCAGTCTCTCCTCCTCCAAAAGCCAAAACACAGAGGAAGAAGAACATTCTTGGTTTCATGAAGTCTTCCAAGAAAGATCCAGCAGAATCAATCTTAGACTCTCCTTCCGGGGACGCAGCTGGACCAGCACTGCTGCTCCCAGTGGTTTCCGATGCCGACTGCACGCCAGAGGAGTCGATATACTCGGTACCAAAACCCATTCTCCCAAAGATTACCGTCCCTGAACCCAAGGCTGCAGTGGACCTGGCAGCTCTCTCCCCTATCCCTGACCCCCCCGACTTCTCCCCTCCTCCAGCCTTCATCCCAGACACCTCAGAAGTCAGAGCTCCAGCCCTGCAGAGTGAAACCCCCCCACAGATTGAAAGTCCTGCTCTGCCAGTTTCTGACCTGCGTGTCCAAAATGAAACCGTTCCCATTCCTCCCATCATTGCTCCCGCCCCTCCAGTCGTTGCTGCCCCCTCTCCTCCAAGCACTTCTACCCCTCCACCAATAGTGGCTCCCTCCCCTCCACCCACCGCTCCCCCCCTCCCCTCCACCCAGAAAATCCCCTCCATCCAGAGCTATCCCCTCTCCTCCACCGAGTTTTGCCAACTCGGATCCTCCTGAGGCCTCTGCTCCCTCCCCATCGCCTCCTGAGCTTCGGGTCGTAGCCACTTCTGACGTGGAGGCAGAGCATCCGGGTTCAGAGGACACGACAGACTCTCTTTCCAAACTAGAGCGTCCCATCTCTGCCCTGTCCGCCCTGGAGAGGGCAGAGGACATGAGCACAGGGAAAAGAACCCCTCCCAGTGACCAGAGGATCTTAAGCGCTCTTGAAAAGGCGCGAAAGAAGGCCACAAGGTGAGCAGCGGAAACACAAAGTCTTCCAGAAGTTAGTTTGATTTAGCAAATATACAAATAATCACTAATAATCATACTGTCTTTGCTTTAAGCCCCCTGTCTAGTCCTATTCCCCCACTTGAGGACTTTTCTTCTCAACTGAACCCCGCCTTATCTGATGGAGAGTTCCCACCCATCGATCACAAGGGAAAGAAACCCCCCCAACATGAGCCACTAGTCAATAGCACAGACCACAGTAAGACTCACTACAAATTCTCTCTTCTCTTTTTCACATTTTCCTGGAATTTAGTTATCCTTTATTTTACCTGGAAATGAAGAGCAGGAGAACATTGATTATCAGGACATCAGGTATGCGTGGAACAGATTAAGTCTAGTCTAGATAAGTCATTTTTTCTTAAAATAAGTGCTTTTGTTCTTTACGGAAGAGGATTAGGGCCACTGAAAAAAAAAAAAAAAGTAAACAGATTTTTTAAATTTTATTTCAGTTTAACATGGGAAAAAAAAGTCAGAATTCTGAGATTAAAGTCAGAATTCTGACTTTTCATCTCAGAATTCTGACTTTAATCTCAGAATTCTGACTTTGCATCTCAGAATTCTGACTTTAATCTCAGAATTCTGACTTTTTTTCTCAGAATTCTGACTTTTTTCTCAGAATTCTGACTTTAATCTCAGAATTCTGACTTTAATCTCAGAATTCTGACTTTAATCTCAGAATTCTGACTTTAAATCTCAGAATTCTGAGATTAAAGTCAGAATTCTGACTTTTTTCTCAGAATTCTGACTTTAATCTCAGAATTCTGAGATTAAAGTCAGAATTCTGACTTTTTTTCTCAGAATTCTGACTTTAATCTCAGAATTCTGACTTTAATCTCAGAATTCTGACTTTTCATCTCAGAATTCTGACTTTAATCTCAGAATTCTGACTTTTTTTCTCAGAATTCTGACTTTTTTTCTCAGAATTCTGACTTTAATCTCAGAATTCTGACTTTAATCTCAGAATTCTGACTTTAATCTCAGAATTCTGACTTTAATCTCAGAATTCTGAGATTAAAGTCAGAATTCTGACTTTTTTCTCAGAATTCTGACTTTTTTTCTCAGAATTCTGACTTTAATCTCAGAATTCTGACTTTTCATCTCAGAATTCTGACTTTAATCTCAGAATTCTGACTTTAATCTCAGAATTCTGACTTTTTTTCTCAGAATTCTGACTTTAATCTCAGAATTCTGACTTTAATCTCAGAATTCTGACTTTAATCTCAGAATTCTGAGATTAAAGTCAGAATTCTGACTTTAATCTCAGAATTCTGACTTTAATCTCAGAATTCTGAGATTAAAGTCAGAATTTTGACTTTTTTCTCAGAATTCTGACTTTAATCTCAGAATTCTGACTTTTTTCTCAGAATTCTGACTGAATTCTGACAATAAAAAAAAATCAGAATTCTCAGAAAAAAGTCAGAATTCTGACTTTTTTCTGAGAATTCTGACTTTAATCTCAGAATTCTGAGATTAAAGTCAGAATTTTGACTTTTTTTCTCAGAATTCTGACTTTTTTCTCAGAATTCTGACTGAATTCTGACAATAAAAAAAAAAATCAGAATTCTCAGAAAAAAGTCAGAATTCTGACTTTTTTCCCAAGGTAAACTGAAAAAAAAATTTAAAAAACAGGTAACTTTTTTTTTTTCAGTGGCCCTAATCCTCTTCCGTAGTTCTTGGATTGAGGAGGTAAAATAGACATTTTCCCAATGGAACAAGACAATTTACACTTAAAATAAGAAAACACAATTGCATTGTCTTATTTTAAGTGCACATTATCTAATTATCTTATTTTAAGAGTACTACTCAAATTAAGGTTAAATACAAATAATTTAAGAAATTTTTACTCATTTCTAGATTGTTTTTCCAGTGTATACCCAGGCCAGCTGACAGCTTTTTAATATTTACTCCTAAAATCCCTCCAGCCTTTGGTCTCATCTTCCCTTTTTCTCTTTTTTTTTCTGTGCGCCGGACTTCTGAAAACCTTTTTAGTTTGCAGTGAAACAAACTTTAAAAGTTAAAAGTGGTCAAACCACACTGCAAACATTTTTAAACTGAATAAGACATTTTTTTTTTAATATAAGGATGTAAGTGAGACACTTTGCCAGTTTATATTTAAAATAAGAAAAAGGAATTGATTGGTCTTATTTCCAGTGCATAATATCTAATTACCTTATTTCAAATGCGCTTCATTTAAGACATTTTTTTGAAATTTTAGATTGTTTTTGCATTTTATGTTGGGGTGGGAGGAGTTCTAATGGCCCCTTATTTAAAGAACACATGTTACATATACCTAATGCAGATATATTAAGTTACTCTAATATTAAATATTTTCAGAAAAATAATTTCTGCCTGGATTTTTAATGGTCAGAGTGTCCATTTTGGCCCCCCTCTATCTGGGGCCCTGGGCAATTGACCCCTATGCCCTTTACAGCAGGTAATAGTCATAGTATTTAGGGTTTGGAATAGATGTTGGAGTTTTGCCATAAGGTTAAACACACAGCAGCGCTTACATTCTTCCTCCGTGTCCAAAGCCAATGAGTCAAACTGCAGAGATTTAACAGCCATGATGGAAGTAGGTTTACTGATGGCGTGTTGACGTTTGGTCAATTATCTTAAACTAAATGGTTGTTTTTCATCATTTCTATCAAATTCTACTGAAGAATCTGTTTGAGGAGGGGCTTACATGTTAGATCAGAATGTTATCACCTGGTTTCTGGAGAAAGAAACTCAGTTAGAAAACCTGAAATAGACCAACCAGCAGTACAAGGAAGAGTTTGCTATTTCTCAGATGTCTGACTAAAGAAAACAACTTCCAGAGTCTGTCTTCCTTGTTGTTTCAAACGCGGAGGCTGTTGAGTTCTTTAGATTTTTGAGAAGGGAGGTTCAGTGAAGTAATGGTTCTGTTATCTGCAGCAAAAGACGAGTTTGCAGAAAAAAAGGGGAAGAAATCATCAAAGCGGAGAAAAGCTGACAGCAGATAAACTGATTTAGATTTTATACATTTAAAATGTTGATATCTTTGTCAATATATATATATATATATATATCCATCTGCACATGTGACTGTAAGCTTATAATATATATATATATAGTTTCACTAAATGGTTCTGAGCTGCTTTCAGTCCAAAGAGGTTAAAACTTTCTAAGAAGTTAATCACCCAAGTTTGTGAAGTAAAACTGGTTTTCTAGTTAGAGAAAACACTCGCTAACTTATTAACATCTTTATATAACCCAGATGGTTAAAATCCACCATGGAATAGCAGGTCTGTTAATCTCTACTTTAAGTTGATTTAATTAGCTAAAAACAGTTAAAATGTTGTTCTGTCTGAATAGCTCTGAGGGTTTCATTGCTTTTTTTAAAGTCACAGAAACATGACATATTTGAGCGAAGGAAATTGAATCAAAATCCAACCTGTTTAATGTGTGAATGGTCCAAACAGGTGTGATTGTATAAACATATTGCAGGTGAGCACAGCTTTCATTAATGCGCTGTGCTTCCTCACAGGGACGGCTTCTCCTGTGTTGCATAACCTCACTGAGATTGGATCTAACACGCCCATAGAGCTGCTCGTGGTTCCGCCTCCACCACCCAGACGGGTCCTACCAGACCCTGAGACTCTGGGTCCTGCTCCACAGAAACCTGACAGACCTCCTTCTGTCAACTTGAGTGAATTCACTCCCCCTTCCCCACTTATTGCTGAAGGTAATGTCACCTTTACCAACATAGGCCTGAGAAATCAGCAGTGTTGAGCACGTTACTTTGAAAAAGTAATTAGTTACTAGTTACTTCTCCCAAAAAGTAACTGAGTTAGTAACTGAGTTACTCCACAATAAAAGTAACTAGTTAGTAGTAAAAGTAACTATTGCCTTACTTTTGCAAGTTTATGAAATGAATAACTGGGGATGTCTAATTCTGAGATCCTGTGTTTGGGTTGTTATAGATACTGCAACATCTAGCTATATCTATCTATCTATTCCATCCATCCATCATCCATCCATCCATCCATCCATCCATCCATCCATCCATCCATCCATCCACCCAGATTTCTCCCTTTCTCCATATAGGCTATCATTTGATCCTTCGCGCTCTCCATAGTTCCCCTGTGGCGCAAGCACAGGGCGGCTGTTACGCGCCTTTAGCGAGCATGCACGTTTCCTGTCGGTTGCGCAGTGAATCGTGCCGCCGCGCTGTGCGGAGACGCAGGGGAAACCTAACCTGACTCTGCCAGATGGATTTGTTCCGCGTATCCATCTGGAAACCTTCCGTTGAAGTAATTTTGGGAAGGGGCGAAAATACTGGTTAGCTGATTGGCCTATGTTGGTGATAGACGGGCCAAATAAACCAATCAGATCAACGAAGCATATGACGTACTAACAGAGCGACGACGAAGAGGAGCCAATTGATAGATCAAACTCTTGCCGAAACCAGTCGGGAGAAGAGCAAAAACATCTTTTCCTCTGAGAAAAGCCTCCAGAGCAGTGTTTTGCTCTTCTTTCAGTGAAGAAATACTCTGTAATTCCCATAAAACTTGCTCGATAGCCACGCTAACGCTAGTTTCATCGGCTGAAGCCATGTTCTTTAGCCTGAACTGTCGCGCTTCTCGTTGCGTCACACCTCAACCCGCCTCATAGCCAACGCTGATTGGACGTTCGTTTGGTGAACGGCTCCAAATTTTCTTTAACGGAGAGTCTCCAGACTGATCTGGGAGTGAAACCTTGAAAGCTCGCGAGATCAGGATGGTCTCACCAGGCTAGGAGAAACCGTATCTGATGGGGAAACGCAGCTCGACGTAACACCAGTATTTCCATCTGGAAAACGCTGTTTTGCCGCTGGAGTCCTCCTCACTCTCCATCCTCCCCTCTCTCATGACGCGCGCTCTCATGAAAAAAGGTTAATTGTGCGACCTGATAACGCGCAGTAACGGGTTGTCGGCAATTGTAACTGCGTTATAGTTACAGTAAGAGTAATAATTTTGATTACTCGTTACTAAAACAGGTAGCGGCGTTAGTAACGCCGTTACTTTCAACGCTGTTACTCCCATCACTGGAAATCCCTTCAGTTTTACCCAAAAAAGTTAAAAAAATCAATCCACTGGACTTTGTTTCCAAGTTTGAAGACGTTTCTCTTCGCATCCAGGAACCTTTTTCAATTCAAAATGTCAGTTTTCTAAAAAGAAAGCCTTAGAAAACATGTAAATTGAATTGTTTTTGGTCTCCTCAATAAGGTCGACCTCAACACTACTTCGGACATTTTGAGATTGAAAAAGCTTCATGCATAGGATTGGAAACAAAGTCTATTGGATTGTATTTTACCTTTTTTTGGAATTACTATGACCTTGATGACTGAGAACTTTCACCAGCAAACTGCTGTTGTAAAGTTTCACTAGAAAACGTCTTTTCCCTTTATCTGCCCTCCTGTTGCACAGAGATTCCTGTCCCGCCTGAGTTTTCAGAGCCTGACGCTACAGACGCCGTCGAGTACGATGATCTGGCGGATGGTTTCTCACAGGAGCTGCCGGTTTCTGAGTCTGGGAACGAGGAGTTTACTGGCGCCGACGTTCCAGATGAACCACGGCAGCCAGAGTTTTATAGCAATGGGATCAGTGAGCCAGAAACTGAGGTCCGCACCGAGACGCCGCATGAGGATGACTACCGACGTAATCCTCCGCAGGATCAACCCCTGCAAGCTGCTCCAAATCACTTGCCCCCACAAGACGAGTAAGATTATTTTTAATGCATTTAAAATTGAATTCCAAAAAGTGATTTGAATGTTTCAGTGGAATGAACATTTTGTTCTATACAGCCCTCACACAATATACCGCAGCAGTTTGAACGAAAGCAACGAAAGCAATGAGAACTTGTACGAGGCGGTGAGGGCGTCTCCTGGGAAAAAGAAGGGGAAGAACGGTGGCAAGAAACAAAAAGGGACCCTTAAAAGTAAGCCTTATCCATCACTTCTCACTCAATTTGTCCACTTTAGCAACAATTTACTCCTTTACCTACAATCCATAAGGTTCTAATTCACTCTCATTTCATGAAGTCATTTAAGAAAAGACTTTTACATTTTTAGGAATTGTCTGGGGAAAAAATCCATTATATAAAACAGAAACCAGCAGACATATATACTATATATGGACCAAAGAATATTCAACAAATAGAAATTTACAAAGTTTTGACTTTTAGCAACTGCACAACTTAACGTCTGACCTTGCAGGCGTGCATCTGCTCCTCTGTCGCATGAATATATTCTGCATTTTAAGCCAGGCATTTACAAGACATAATTTAAACATTTGGGATGTTTTACATGTATTTTTTTTTTTCAGTTTAATAGCATTTTATTTAAAAGAAGCTGTCTCAGATTTCTGCATTAACCTTTTGTTTTGTTTTTTCCCTCCACAGACCCATATGTTGAGAGTACACAAGAAACGGTAGGAATTATTCTAGCTGAACCCCTTCAGCTTTTTTTTTCATATTTTGTCATGTTGCAGCTGCAGTTCTGTTTTGGAGGGCAGACCTGTGTCACCTAGATTTGCATATTCAGAAACTTCTTTTTCATCTTTTACATCGGAGTGAAATTTTTTCTCTCTTTGGTGTCGTTTTCACTGTAGCTGTGTGCTTAGAAGTTTAGTTTTCTGTTGGAAGGTGAATCTTTATCCCCGTCTCTAATGTTTTGTAGCGTCTAGACATTTTTTTCTAACCTCTATTTGACTCCATCAATTAACATAAACTCTGAGCAGCATCCCATTTCCTGCTGAATAGAATCATCCACACAGTTTCATAGAGCGCCGCCACAATTCAGCAGATGGATGCTGCATATTTAGTGATTTAGTGCATTGCATGTTTAGCGCATAGACCAATAATAATAGTGTGGGGTTAAGGGTCTTGCTCAAGGACCCAGAATGGCAGTCTGTGGGAGTGGGGCTCGAACTCAGAACCTCAGGATTGGCCACCCCTCCCCCACAATATGCTTGTGTTTTCTTTTTCTTTCCATAAAAGTTGGATCTCTTAGATTCTCCCACCTGATCTGTGAATCTCTCCAGCTCCTCCAGAGTTAGCATCACCCTCATAGCTAATTCTTTGACAACTCCTCACATGTTTTAATTGGATTAGGTGCGGACTTTGACTAGGCCATTCTGACTGATAGATATCATTAGATCTGTTGACGACCTTTGCATACATCTTACATTTTTTCAGACAAATTTACCAATGCTCTGTAAGGTGTATTAAAGTTTGGAAAATATTGTTTTATAACTCAACACATCTTAACATGCACTGGAAAAAAATTTAAATCTATATAAGTCACTTTTTTTCTTAAAATAAGTGCATTTCTTCTTGGATTGAGGAGGTAAAAGACACATTATGCCAGTGGAACGAGACAATTTACATTTAAAATAAGAAAACAGAATTGCATTTTCTTATTTCAAGTGTATGTTATCTAATTATCTTATTTTAAGAGTGAAAATAGTCATTCCATTGGCAAACTATCTCATTTACTGACTCATTTTAAGGATAAATACACTTAATTTAAGGAATCTTTAATTATTTCTAGACCGTTTTTCCAGTGTGTTTCTTCCTGACCCGTCTGCTGTTCCTCTTGTTCTTTGTGATGCTTGTTAGGTTTATTCAATGATTATAAAATTAATGTGTGCTTATGAAACATTTGTGCAAGGGGATGCTCCACTCCTGTGTCATGATCCAGTCAGGAGACCATCCTGCCTTGTCATTCTGATGGAGCATTCTGTCTTCACGAACTGATCAGTTGTTCTGTCAGAACAATACTCTGTTTGTAGCCATGCGTCATGTTCTGTTAATAAACGCTCTGCAGAGGAGGTCCAGTGGGAGACAGTGTGTTTGAGTCTGGGGTTCAACTGTCTCTCCTTTCTGCAGGAATTGTATCCATAAATTGTGTATTTCAGTTCTTCTTTAGCAAAAACCTACATTTTATGAACCCGACAATGCTGTTTCTGCATTGATGATTTCAAGCAATTCCCTGAGACTTTTACTAAACAGCTGAAGTAAACAAGCACACAGGTGGTGTTTATTTACAAAATAGGTCATTTCTGACGGGCTGCATTCAGTTTTATTTAACGTTTATCTGATTATCTGATTATACTTAAAGCATGCCGCACAAATGATGTAATCCTACAGTTGGAACGTGACAAAATCTAAACCTTTTCAAAGGGTTTTTGACATGACGTAATGTTGGAGAGTTGTTTTTTTTCTAAAGCAAATAAAGTCTTATTCTTTGTGGCTATTTTACAGGTTCAGGAGAAACCGAAGATTGGCAGGTTTGGCAGGTAGTTTCCTCTTATTTCTGGATCCATTCCTCCAGTTTTCGTTCCTACACTCCTTATAACGAGAGTTTGCTTATGCTTCCCTGTTATAATCCCCCCCCATGCTATTTAAACACGCTGTGAGAAAACAGTTCTCAAGTATTGTGCATTTCTTCTCTCTGCAGGAGCGATAAGAAGCACAACTCCGAGAAGTCAGAAGAAAAGGAGTTGAAAAAGAAGGAGAAGCAGCGGCTGGAAAAGGAGAAGAAGGAGCTGAAGGAGAAACAGGGGAGGGAGAGGAAAGAGCAGAAGGAGAGGGAGAAGAGGGAGCATGAGATGAAGAAAAAATTCAACGTGAGTCCTGTTATTCCGACAGAAAACAGGGGGAGGAGGAGGTATGGAAGGTGACGGGGAGGAGGAGGGTGGGGTAAATATCTGGGTGCTCAAACCTGTCAGGATTCATTCCTCAATGTGGAAAAGCTGAAGTCTGAGTAAACATGACTGATGGCAACACCTTCTCTCATAAGTTTTCAATCTGTGTGCTTTTATAACAAAGATCTTTGAGCAAGAATTCAGTTTCCAGACACCCGATGATAAAAGACCTTCCAGTATTTATAGGATTCATTTAAACGAGGCGATAAGCAAAAGAAATGCATCCTTTTGTTAACCAGCTTTCCAACAGATTAAAGTTTAATATAGGTAGGATCTAAAAATCCGAAAGTGGATCGTGATTAAATCACCTCCTGCATAAAGCTACAAATTTCCCTTCAGACTCTTCAGTAGCTCCTCTCTGATCGGGTCATGATGAAAAATGTTTTTTTCTGTTCTATAGACCCTGAAAATGTATTACATTTGGTAAACAACCTTTAATTCAAATATTGTTTAGATTACTTTATGCAAATTTTGTTGAACAACAGAAAATGTTCTAATGAGGAAAATAATAAACTTTTATCAACTCAATGTGACCCAAAATATAACAAAGAATAATTGCACATAGTTTTTTTTTCCTGCAGTATTGCACTTAAATGCTTTATAATTAGACACATTGCAGAACTATAAAAGAGATTAGTCTGATCTGTTTTGGTTTATGTTGGTCCTACGCATTATCCTGCTGCAGGCAGGGCACGATAAAAACATTCAGGCCCTCCTACCTCCTTAGCTGCACCAATTGGTTTAAAAAAACTGCTTTTAAACACTCATGACTTTCACTGTTGGTGGGGTTTCCTATGAAGGTACTTAAAGAAGAATTTTTTTTTACAATTTTAGCTTAAATATGCGTCAACATATATATTTTTTGTTTGTTTTTGATGCAGAATTTCAAAGATGATGTCACTTTCTTACAACTCCCACTGAGGAACCACTGGTTTAAAATGATTTAAATAGAGAAATAAACTTCTCTTCATCTTGATTAATAAATAGAATTAAAGACTGTATCCCAGATCCCTTTAAAATAGATCTGCATGAATACCTGCCGCTCTGTCCTCTTCATCCATGGCCTGTTTGACATGTTATTTATTTAGGCTTTGACCTTTGCCCTCATGTCAGCTCAATTCCTGAGCAGAAACGTTATTATCACTATTCTAGAGAAACAATGTTCATTCAAAGCACAGAACCTGACTCCGCCAGATGGATTTGCTTCACATATCCATCTGGAAACCTCCCGCTGAAGTAATTTTGGGAAGCGGCGAAAATCCTGGTTAGCTGATTGGCCTATGTTGGTGATAGACGGGCCAAATAAACCAATCAGATCAACGAAGCATATGATGTACTAACAGAGCGACGACGAAGAGGAGCCAATTGATAGATCAAACTCTTGCTGAAACCAGTCGGGAGAAGAGCAAAAACATCTTTTCCTCTGAGAAAAGCCTCCAGAGCAGTGTTTTGCTCTTCTTTCAGTGAAGAAATACTCTGTAATTCCGATAAAACTTGCTCGATAGCCACGCTAACGCTAGTTTCATCGGCTGAAGCCGCCATGTTCTTTAGACTGAACTGTCGCGCTTCTCGTTGCGTCACACCTCAATTCCGCCTCAAAGCCAACGCTGATTGGACGTTCGTTTGGTGAACGGCTCCACATTTTCTTCAACAGAGAGTCTCCAGACCGACTAGCGAGTGAAATCTTGAAAGCTCGCGAGATCAGGATGGTCTCATGAGGCTACAGAAAACACATATTTTTAATAAAATGTATTCCTAAATCTTTGTATCAAAAACTTTTATTTTATTTTAGACATTGATAAATATAAAATACAGAATATTATGTACATTTTAATTTACTTAATGTGTCGTTTATTTTCTTTCTCCTCTATCAATCATCTTTTTTGTGTTGAAAAGTTTCGGTTAGATTCGGTTCACCATGGTAGCCTTGAACGCAGAGCTGCTGGGTAACGTCTCTGTGTCCGTGTGTGATTCAGATCACAGGGCAGGAGGAAGCCATGTATCAGGCAAAAGTGAACGTAACCGCGAAGGGCCGCAGGAACGATCTTCCAGTCAAGAGCGGAGACATCATCAGCATCATCCGAACGACCAAGTGCCCCAAAGGAAAGTGGCTGGCCAGGGACAGCAGCAACACCTGTAAGCTGAACGTTTGGGATTTCGTCTGTCTCTGGGAAAGATGGAGACCAGCTCCTTTTGATATCCGGCAGTAACTGGCATGAATCTGTTCCCACAGATGGATACGTTTCCGTGGAACACTTGGAGCTGGACTTTAAGGATATGTTGGAGCTGGGGAAGAAGACTCCCCGCAACAGCACCGTCATCGAGACGGAAACCACGGATGGCAAGTATGTGTGGGACCTTACGACTAAATTAAAAAAATAAGATAATATATAGTCGACGCTGTTGGAAAGATTCCGTCTGCTTTCTGTTTGCTCCTCAGGGCGCTGAATAACTTCAGTCATTCAGCAGAAAGCTGTAAGTGTTGCAACCAAAGCTCCTAATTAAACACATTAAATCGATCAGCGGCTGTTTGATGTCCACTGCTCCTTCATGCTGGTGTTGCTGTTTTCAGTCTCAGATGACAGTGATGAGTGGACCTGTGAAGACGAACCGTTCTCGCCTGCTCCTCAAACCTCTGAGCAGTTACCAGGGTAACCTTACTTCTTTCTCTTAGTTCTTAAAAGTCTTTTCCAGACCATTTCCTTCTAACCTTCTCTGTCCTCTGCAGGGGCCACGCAAGGACTTTCTCCATGCCAGAGACGGGTAAGCTATCAGACGCATGACAGAATAATACGTTGTTGTTGTTTCCGAGGCAAGTTTACTTGAACCAGAGCCTTGAAGGAAAATGTTGTGGATCGCATCGTTAAGATTTCATACAGCTCATTTCCTGAAACTCTACAGCCATTCCAGTGGATTGTTATCAGCTGACTGTTGATCATGTGCTGCATCTCTCCAGGAACTGTGAAACAAAAATATGGTTTATAGAGTTAAAAAATAGGTCATGTTAGCCTTTTACTGAATGGAAGGCCAATGATGCATGTGTTGTTTATATATATATTGTTGCTTAGGACTGAAATTAACTGATTAAAAGGTTGGAGTTTATTTTGTAACCTTCAGGATTCCTTGTTCAGGGTTCGTACACCTTTTCCAAAGTCAAAATCAAGCACTTTTCAAGCACTTTCAAGATCCATTTTAAAAATTTTTCCAGCACCTTACGGAACCAGTTTTGGTTGACTGCCGGGGGGTGGGGGGGTTTGGGGGGGGGGATTCGAAAGGAATACATGAAACTAAATCCTATCTTAATTTGTCAGATATTTATTTTTTATTATCAGTTTTAATTTACTACTTACCTTTCCACATATAGTTCACAGAAGATGAAGACGACGAACACGTATTTTCCCCCCACACGTCTCCTCGGATGATCAAAGAAAATTACTCCTCTGCCATGGCGTAGTAATATAACCAACTAGAGGGTGTCGCAATTTAGTTTTATCAGCCGTAGAGTTATCAATGCTGTTTTAAGGTCTGGGCCTGGCAATGAATTAAAACTTCAGGGTTTTTTTTTTGGAACGTTGGCGAAGCGGCCGCCTAGCTAGCAGTTACTAGCGTAAACAGATAGGCGCTAACGTTAACGTGTATCAGGCTACTTCAGTTGGCTTACTTGAAAGTCTATGACTTACTCTTCATGTGACTCGACAGCGCAGACTCGCCCATTGTGAAAAGCTGCGCATCTTTTTTGCAGACTTTACAAGAGGCAACTGGTGGGGTTTGTCCCCGTTTAATCCATAATTTGTATTTTTCATCTTCCAGCCAACGTTCATTGAAACGAAAACCTCCCGGCACGGTGCAGTAGTGGTTTCATGGGGGCGGAGTCACACATGGAAATAGACTGGCAGATCGCGGTCACACATAAGCGAGCAGGTTTCATTTTCAGGCTCTCCAAAATTTTATTTCTCCATTTAATAAACACACGATTCAGTTGGATAGGTATTTGTAGCGAAAGAAATAGTTACAATTTCAAGCATTTCATCCAAAATATAAGCACTTTTCAAACCTTGAAAACACAACGTCAAAATTCAAGCATTTTCAAGGATTGTTTTAAAGGTAAATGTGATAAGTTTTATTCAACTGGAGGCTATAAATATCCCAAACTCAGAGCTGAATTTGTTTTATGAGTTTTATAACAAATCAAATAGGTTGATTTTTACTGTTGTCTGACGGTTATCAGGTCATTGCGGGTGATAGTGGCGTCGGATGCAGGAGTTTGCTCTGTAGTCGGAGAGTTGGCGGTTCAAACCCGGCTCTGGCTTTCATTGAACATTTAACCCACATCTCCTACCGATGGAGGTTAGAGGGTCCGGTCGTGCCTGTGATCGGCAGCCTCACCGTCATGGAGCCCCAGGGCAACTGTGGCTACAGTGTAGCTAGCCACCATCAGTCTGTGACTGAATGTAGCGTAAAGCGCTTTGCTCAAGTTTCCTGACCTGAAAAAGCGCTGAAAGTAGAAACCATTGAGCATATTTTTCTCCAACTAAATGGTTTAACAGTACCTTTCAAAAGAATTAATAACTCTTTTTTTCTTGTAATTAAATTCTTGGAACAGAACAAAAAATTCAGTTCTATTCAGTTTATTTCTATAGCTCCAATTCACATTGTGTCATCTTAAGGTACTTTACAGTTCACCAGATCACCCATTTTCTTTCAAAGGAAAACCAGCTGATTGCATCGACTCATTGACTCTTCAGCAATCCCTCACACTAAGCATGCTTGTAGCGACAGTGGAGAGGAAAAATGTCCTTTTAACTGAGTAATATTACTTTACTTAATACTAAACTGAGAGTTGGAGGGAAAATATTTAGCTTTTTTAAATAAAAAAACATTAAGCCCTTTACCCTCTACTGTGAGAATCACATTTTGCTGCTATTAAGGCTGAATAATAAATCAAAGAACAATAAGGGTTTCGAAAGGTTTCCACATAAAGCAGTTTTCAAATCATTCCACAGATAAAGGTCTGGACTTTGACTAGGCCCTTCTAACATTTGGATCTGCTTTAATCTCAACCATGCTAATTAAGCAGCGGCTGACTGTTCAGTGTCAGGCTTCTCTGCCCCTTGCCTGCATCCCTACAGCATGACGCTGCCACAACTAAAAGCAAGGTTAGCATGTTGCTAATCATGTATAGTTTGCAGAGAACTGTACTTTATCACAATGTTAAATATCATTCTGGTTATTTTATGCATTCATCAGTTTCAATCTTTAGTTTAGAGCAGGGGTAACCAATTAAAAATCAGCAGGGTCCGAATAAAGAAAATCATCAACCAGTAAAGATCCGGAGACATTTTGAATTATAATCTGTTACTTTAAACAGAATTACTTTACTTAAAACACTGAAATAAAAGGAGCTTTTTATCTATCCATGTTATATATTTACTTTTAAATAAAAAGTACTATAAAAAAAGAAAGTTTCCATTTTAAAATCTTAAGTGTTTTTTTAAGTAGAGAACAACAATCGTTCAGTTTGGTTTACAGATAATTTCCTGATTCCCATCTTTTCTCAAACCCCTGAACTGAGCGTTTGTTATTTTCTTTCTTTTTTCTGTCTTAATGTTGGCAGTGGGCTTTAGGCTGCCCTGCAAGGCTTTAAACCTGGGTTTAACCGGAGACTAAGCCATTCTCAAGCACATATCAAGGAGCTCATTTTGAGCCTGGATCCAGATTTATTGTTGATTCTGTTCATGGTGGAGAATCCTGCTTCACAGCAGCAGGTTGAGCCAAACATCCTCTAAATGTGCAGGGTCATCTTTGAGCACGCCATTTCACTTTTCTTTCACCAGTTCACCGCAGTTCTTCCAGCAGTCCACACTTTCTCTGCTCTCTTTTTCTCATGGTCTTCTCCTTCTTTCCCATCGCCCGGCTTGCCACAGGTTTGCCTGCTGTGTCTAAAAGTAGCAGCAGCAGCAACCCAGACTGACAGCTCATTGGCTCATTTGGATCACGTGCAGCCTGGAGCCGGACGCTCCCCAGGGCTTTACCGTATTAACAGGAGAAGAGGCGCAAGTAAAGTTAGACACTGCCGTCAGACAACAAGTAGTAATTTATAAATGTTATAAATCAGGTTGGGTCCAGATTAGCCAGCAGGTGGGTCCGGATCCAGACCGCGGTCCGCTAATCCGTGACCTCTGGTTTAGGATTATGTTTACATAAATCTGTGTATTCTAGATGCATCTACATTCACAGGTCCAACAGAACCTGTGAATGTTAATAAAGCAAAGTATGTCAGATTTTTTTTACTTGCATTCAAACTAAGTATAGGTGAATCTGGTGTGTAGCTCTATAGAAATGGGAATAGATCCAAGCATAATAACAAGCACACAGTTAGGGTATAAAGCTGTAGTAGCTCAAATAATATTTTCACTTAATTAGAATACCAGGTAGCTTTGAAACCGTCTGTGCTGTATAACTATAAATGTACGAAAAGTTTAAATTTAAAACCTGTAAAGCCACAAATATTTTCCGCTCTTAGTGCATTTTAATAAACTATTACTCTGCGTCATTCTTTAGCTGAATCATCACTTCGTGACTCGCAGGTTAAACATGTCGTTTGAGTAACAGGAAGTTGATAATTATGGAACCTGTGATGACACGTTTTAGGTTGTTTCACCTGATAGAAGACAGTTTTGGTGTTAGTTTTTTCCTGGTATGTTTAGAATGATTGTTTCTGCTTCATTTTTTCTTTACAGGAAACAGGGACGTCGCCACAAACCACCAGCACAGTCACAGTGACATGTGTGACGACTCCCAGACCCAGTGAGATCATGATCTTTCATACTTTTTTCAAGACAAAAAGTGAGAAAAGAGATGTTAAATATACTTAATGGTTTGTGTTTTTCTTTTTTTTTTTCACTAGTGCAAGACAAGAAGCACTTCAAAAGTTGGCGACATTCTTCAACTCATCGAAATCCGTGGATCCAGCTCCATTGTAAGTGTTACATTAGCATGTTGATGCTGTAGACAGTTTATAGGCGGTAGAAACTTTACTGATGATTTAACTTCTTTTCTTTTTAAGGGAACCCGAACCAGAAAGGAGTAAGTTTAGCTAAATGGATTTTAATTTTAATACTTTTCTTTTGAATATAACTGAATAATCTGGACCTTGGTTCCTCTGCAGGCCCTACACCTGTGCCGGAAGAAGACGTTAGTGTGTAAGTAGCCATAAATACACACAGAAAAATTCCCGACATGTTGCTCAACCAGTAGACAGACAGGTTTTCTTCTTCTTCTTTTTTTTTTTTTTCTTGTTTGGAATGAGCTGCTAAAGATGTCAACATATTAATTTATGCGTCTAAGAGAAAGTCTGGTGGACTGGAAAACCAGTCCGGTCCTGCAAACAAGCTGAGTCCTGTTTGGGTAAAACTGTCAACCCTAAAGTGCTTCAGGCCTCATCAACAGTGATCAAAACATGGCAACTAGGCATGGCCCAGTTTCTGGTATTAGTACAGCCTTAAACAAAAATTAGCTACAGGTTTATTTTAGAAATGTCCATCTTGTGTCTGGTGTTTGATATATTTCATAAGTTACTGGGTTTGATTTCCTACAAGCTGAACCTCATTTTGAAGTTTTGAAATCAGTTTAAACTAAAACTAATTTTTCCCCTTATTTAACTGGGTGTTGGATTTTTCTGGAACGCTAAGTTACAAACAGCGACTAAAGTTTAAAGGAGCAAAAGCTGTCACTGCTACTAGGTTGTTGTTAGGGAAGACGAGTTTATTTTTATGGCACCATTCTTCCACAGGGTAATTCCAAGAGCTTAACAGGAGAACAAAAGAACAAAATATGACAGAAAGAAATAGATACGCCCAAACTCATAAAACAAATTCAGCTCTGAGTTTGGGATATTTATAGCCTCCAGTCGAATAAAACTTATCACATTTACCTTTAAAACAACAGGGTTCTTACGGGTGCTGGAAATCCTTGAAAATGCAAAAATAAAGATGCAAAATAAAATTTCCCAACTAAAAAAAACTAAGACATGATACAAACTGAAAGCTAGTCTGGCTTTTATCGGTAAGCTGCAGTGAATGTTTTCAAGTTCTGTCACGTCTCATTTTTGGACAATTGCCTGAAAACCTGAGGATCTGGGAGACTAAAAGCTGCCTCCCTGCTTTTAGTTCCTGCTCTTAGACAGTTTATGGACAGGTTTAAGATGACCTGAGGGACCTACATGGTCCATACTTAGACGGAAATTCTAAAATATAATTAGATGAAGACCTTCTAGTGCAGTAATGACTGCCATTCATATTGCTGGTGTTGATCAGGGCTATTGCAGCAGCTTTTTAGACGAGCTGCAACTGGCTGATTGATTTTTGCAGACACGTGTAAAAGCAATGTTACCTTATACCTCCTAAAGAATGGGGAGCATTCTGACAGGTTCATTACTGGACATTTTGTCACAGTGACTGAAGTTGGCCAAGGTCAAGCATTAAAACAGAAACATGTATTATATGTTATCAGTATAGGTATTATAAGAGATCCTTGTATACATTATTATCTCTGCTACTTGGATTATGTATATGCTAAAGAGAATAGTAGAGAGACACCGATCTGATAGCTGGATGGGATATCGGCTCCAATTATGACTAATTAGCTGGATTGGATATTGTTAATCTGATATCGGATCGGTGATCCAGCTCCGTGTACATTATATGGAACTGTTTTTGCTGCTTATTTGTTGATAAACAATAAGATAAAGTAAATTAATATTCGTGTCGATTTGTTAACTTTTTTACCAATTTACGTGGAGGCCAAAGCCTCCACTCACATTGCGAGAGATATTGTTCATTCAACAGTTGAATCGGATTGGTATCATATATCGAGCAAAACGTTCATCCCAGGTATCGGTGCATCTCAAAATAAAAGCAGCCCAAGAATGAAACCTTGAGGAACTCCACATCATTTTTGTTTGCTAAGATTAAAAAAGTGAAAAACTCTGCTAAATAGCCTCGGCCCACCAAATCAGCCAAAGTAATTAACCAGCTAATATTAGATTGCAATGCTTTGTTACTCTATACAAAACTTAATAAAAAAAAACAATGACTAAACTGTGTATATACGGAAATCTGTAGGACTGATAACCATATATTGCATAATTTCAATTGCAGGTAGAATAATTTTTTCTACAAAATCAAAAGGGTTATTATGTTGCGTATTTTTATTTAGCGTTTCGGTGTAATTACTTTATTTTTGTATTTTATTTAAGATCATCACGCTAGCCATTACCTAATCACAATATGAACCACTCTGTAAATACAATGCTCAAAAACATGAAGGAAACATGTAAACAACACAATATAACTTCAATTAAATCAAACTTCTGTGAAATCAAGGCGTTCACTTAGGAAGCAACACTGACTGACAACCAGTTCACATGCTTTTGTGCAAACGGAATATACAACAGGTGAAAAATATAGACTTCTATAAAGGAGTGTTTCTACAGGTGGGGACTAACAGACCACTTCTCAGCACCTATGGTTTCTGGCTGATGTTCTGGTCACTTATGTTGTCGGTGCTTTCACACCCGTGGTAGCATGAGACAGACTCTACAACCCACACAACTGGCTCAGATAGTGCAGAGCAATGTCAATGCAAGCTTTAGCAGGAAGGTTTGCTGTGTCTCTCAGTGTACGTAGTTTGCAGAGGCTAGAGTCACTACCAGGAGACAGGCCAGTACACCAGGAGACATGGAGGAGGCCATAGTTGGACAACAACCCAGCAGCAAGGCCACTACCTCCGCTTTGAGCAAGGAGGAACAGGAGGAAGATTGCCAGAGCGCTGCAAATTGACCCAGACAGGCCACAAATGTTTCTGCTCAGCCGTTGAAACGGACTCCATGAGGATAGTACGAGGGCCCGACATCCACAGATGGAGGTTGTGCTCACAGCCCAACACCATGAAGGATGCTTAGCATTTGCCAGAGAACATCAGGATTGGCATATTCCCCACTGATGAACGTAGGTTCTCAACGAGCACACGTGACAGTCTGCAGACACTGTGGAGAGCAATCTGCTGCCTGCAAAGACCTTCAGCATGACTGGTTCTGCAGTGGGTCAGTAATGGTGTGGGGTGGAATTTCTTTAGAGGGCCACATAGTCCTCCATGTGCTTATCAGAGGTAGCATGACTGGCATTGGATACAGAGATGAGATCCTCAGACCCCTTGTGAGACAATATGCAGGTGACCCTGGGTTCCTCATAATGCAGGACAATGTTTGACCTCTTTTGGCTGGAGTGTGTCAGCAGTTCCTGCAAGATAAAGGCACTGAAGCTATGGAAAGGCCGGTCCGTTCCCTAGACCTAAATCTGATTGGGCACATCTGGGACATCATGTCTCGATCCATTCCCCAATGCCAGGTTGCATCACAAACCGTCCAAGAGTTGGTGGATGCCTCAGTCCAGGTCTGGGAGAAGATTCCTCAGGAGAGCATCCACCACCTCATCAGGAGAATGCTGAGTCATTGTAGGGAGGTCATACAGGCATGTGGAGGCCACACACAAAACTGAGTCTCATTTTGTCCCCTTATCAACGTTGGTTCAGCCTGTAATGTTTTTCCACTTTACTTTTGTTTGTGACTCCAAATCCAGGTCGTAATTGGTTGATAAATGAGATTTCCTTCTGTGATTTCGGTGTCAACACACTCAGCTTTGTACAAAACAAACAATTAAATGAGAATATTTTATTCATTCAGATCTAGGATGTGTTATTTGAAGGTTCCTTTTATTTTCTGACAGGTGTACTTTCTTAAGATGGAAAATAAGTAAAGGTAGTTGTAAAAAATTATTCAGTCCTTTTTTATATATTTTTTTCAAAACAGGCAACAGGAAAGCTCCCCTCAGGAGACAGAGTTTGATCCTTCAGTCGTCATTTTACCTCCTCCTGACATGTATGCAGACTCTATGGATTCATAACCCCACAGCGAGGTAAGGAGGAATCAAACACGCTCTCTCTGTCCCTCTGCATGTTAAATAATCTCCCACTCTGTTTTTTTAACAGTCCATTATAAATCTCCCACGCTAAGTGGGACCTCCCTAGTGTGACGAGTTGCTGCCATTTGATCCCTTCGCAAAACCAGCACCTTCTTGACTTCAGCCTGACTTATTAAGAACCGCATGAAAAGGGCAATACCCTCGTGAGTGAAACCAGCGTCCAAGCAGATGGATATGTTAGCTCTGCTCCTTCAAGGTCGGTGGAAATATTCTGAACTTTGGACCAAGATGATATCTCCTTTTCTCTGGAGAGTAAATATGAAAAGATTGCAGACCTACATGGACGGGACAATACCAAAAACAACCACTCAAGGGGGATGCAAAGGAAGGATTTAATCTAAAGTGTGTTCAGGATGAAATAACCTTCCTCTTGAGAGAAAGAGACGTGCAAACTTGAAAAAGTCCTACAATCAAGAAATCAGCTTTTCCTCAGATCAGCCGCTATGTGAACACAGAAGAAAGAATCCAACCAGAGCCTGAATATTGGTCCAAGTCTACAAGAAGCATCAGAAATCTTAAAGGGTTTGCTGCAAGGGACTGAATATTTAAAATAAGCTTAGGGATAAATATAATATTATTTCCCCCCAGTTGTATTAACACACTATTTTATTTTATTTTTTAACAGAACTATCAGGAGCTGGTCAGTTTTATTTCCATGTGTTTGCATCACTATTTTTTCTACTGTTTGTTAATATTGCTGACAACCTATCTGGATTGTTTAAGAGCATGTTTCTACTGATCTTGTGATATTTAAATGATCTGTGGCATAGAAAGTAAAAGGTTGTGAAGTTACCAGTAACCAAAAGCAGGAAGATTGTGAGTTTTTAAAAAAGGGAAGAAATCCAAAGAGCTGTGAAAGACTAACAAATGATGGATAATGTTTTTGGTTCAGGGGTTTGGTCTTTAGGACCTATTGCCCTGAATGTTTTAGAGTTTTCCCTGCCTTAACACACCTGGCTTTAATAAATGGATACAAAACAGGCAAATGATAAATGACCTTTACTTCATGGGCGTAGGTTTGCATAGGGACCATAGGGACATGTCCCTACCAAAATTTTGAACCGACCTAATTGTCCCTACCAATAGTTGGATGTGAGCAACATGTTTATAATTTACAGCAGTAGTTGTTGCAGCAGTGGCTTCTTTTCCTCTCGCAGCTCCTCTGCCTGGTCTCTCCTGTCCCTTTCATGTAGCAGCGCATGGAACTGTGCTGCGCTGTTTAACTCCACTCTCATTGGTTGTTCTGCCTTAAGTTCCGCCTTCTCTCTCTCTGATTGGCTGTTTTCTAGTCCGCGTGTGCTTGGAGCGCAACATTGAAAATTTATTCACACTAGAATGCAGCGGTTACTACAATCAATATTAGGCTACAAAACTAGTCCCGATAAAAAAAATTAATATGTACACTAAAAAACAAAAACCTTTTTTTTTCTTTTATAAAACGAAATATTCTGAGTCAGCCAGGAGTTCTGAAGACTGCTGGAAAAATGGGCAAATAAAGGCTGTAAGCATCAACATTTCTGATTCTTAGCCACAGCCAACTAAAAAAGGAAATGTGAGGGTTTCCTTTTACCGATATTTAGTTGATATTACTCTTTTCATGTTTTTGTTTTTATTTTTACCATTTTGATATAATTACTGATCTAAGTGAGTTGCTCTGTGGGGAAAGGCACATTTTACATTTACATTACTGTGTGTTTTAAAGTCTCTATACAACAGTTAATGATGAATCACTTACTAAATTAGTTGACGATTATTGAAATAATCAATTAATATGATAAAATTTTTTCAACCCCAGATGAAATACATGTAATTGTCTACACAGAGTAACTACAGCCCAGATGTTCAACTTTTATAGTGAAGTTAATATCTTAATGAATGTATTATTTTGCTTGATACAGAGAGAGAATAGTAGGTACAATTATTAGAGTGGGGTTTAACTCTGCACAATTCTATATCTTCAAAAGAAAATACTGTATTTACCTTCTCTCTTAGTCGTTCAAAGGAAACCATTTTCAAAGTGGAAAACAGTCCTAATTCCACATTCATCAGAGCCGGTGATACTTCAAACATTGATAAACAGCATCTAATGAGTGTAGAGCTTATAACATTTTTATTAATGGAGCAAAATGTTGCTTTTCTCTTTTAACAAGGAATTCCTCTTATCAGTACGGATGCTCACATCGAGCATAAAAAAGGGCATGCATATTGCATAGCACCAATGACACCCGACCAATAGTGTCCCTACCAAAGTTCAAATCAAACCTACGCCCTTGCTTTACTTATAGAGCGCTTTTTCAAGTCAGAGGATGTGACCCATTGATCTCTATTTATTAACTGGATTGCTGACAGTCATTTGGTAGTAAAGGGTTGAAGTGAATCCACCAGCAACCATATTGGTACTCCCTTGTTAGACCGCTCGCAATGTAAACAATCTGTGCGCTACAGGATGGATCAACGATGATGATGTTCTCATTTTCAGGGAGGCTTAAGACTTTTAAAATAAAGATAAATTCATTACTTTGACACAGACTGGCTGTTTCATAGCATCAGTAGATTGATTTAACCTATAATAAACAAAATAGGCACATCACATTGCATAGCAGAGATGGCAAAAGTACTCACTTTCCGTACTTGAGTAAAAGTACAGATACTTGTGTTAAAAAATACTCTGGTAAAAGTGGAAGTACTGATTAAACTTCTTTACTCAAGTAAAAGTAACAAAGTACAGGCTTGTAAATTTACTTAAAGTATCAAAGTAAAAGTAGAAACCACTTTTTTCATGCCGTTGCCTACATTTTAAATGGATGTCTGCCAATAGGACTAGATCTCCGTTGTGTTCATTTTCAATCATCTCGTCGTCCATGCTACTATGCTAACGCCACCGCCACCAAGCTGCAATGATTTGCCGCCAATGAATACCGCCGAATCTGTCGATTCATCTTGTAGTGGTGCGTCAAATGCAACGTAGATTCCCATCCAATTAGATTGAATTTGGTATTGATGACGTGAAAAATAACGGTAACTCCATTGAAATGATTCAAAACTAAAGTAACGAGACAATTTTTTAAAATGTAAGGAGTAGAAGTAAAAAGTCGCCATAAAAATAAGTAGTAAAGTAAAGTAAAAATATCAGAAAAATCTACTTGAGTACAGTAACAAAGTATTTGTACTTCGTTACTTCCCATCTCTGCTGCATAGTCATTATGAAGTCTATAAATCATGCAATATAACATATACAAATAAATCGCAATAAAATTAATGTGTTAAAGGAGCAGAATAATACAGATGAGCCAAACGTGCTTAATTGATGATGTACATGTAATATACATGTATTGATTAATTGCATCTTACATATCTGCTAATGGATGCATGCATGCATATATATATATATATATATATATATATATATATACATACATACATAGTTGCTTTTTTTTCCGTCAATATAACATGCAATATATTTCAGCACAGGACTTTTTCAAATGACAACTACAAAAACACTACAAAAACTACAGCATCATCCATTTAATAGAGAATTACTACTTTGACATTTCACAGTGAATTACTTTCTATTTACGCTACTTTCTATTTTCTAACATTAGAAACAATGTCGATGGCAAATTTAGTCAATACCTTTGAATCAGTCTGAGATTGCCACAATAATGTTTACGCTACAGACTATACTATAGGATCCATCAGTGTATATATAGATGTATTAGTTAGTTCATCCACTGACTGGGAAATAAAATGTGAAACGTCTTCCTATAGCAGAAAACTGCTGGGTATACCAGCCCAATGCTACACATGTATGCATTGTTAATTCGTGTGTGGATCCGTGGGAGTGGGGAGTACCAACATGGCAGACGGTTGCTTCCCTTTTTTTAGCCAATCAGCAATCCGATGAATAATTAGAGATCATTGACTAGAGCAAAGCGCTTTACACCACATTCATTCACACACCTCAGATCTCAGTGGCTGCTGAGGAGGGAATGCAGTCATTTGATTGAGGTGTGCTGAGCAGAAACATCTAAAACCTGCAGGACTCTGGGCTCTTATTGGAAGGCTGCTGTTTCAAGCCATTTTCAACAGATCATGTTTATAGGATCCATACTAACAGACATCAAAGGTCTGTGCTTTTCCAAGAGAAAAGAGTTTGCTGCTGTTAAAAGAGAGCAGCGACATCTTCCATGTCACTGAAATAATAACACCCATAGTAAATACATTATATACTCTTCTTACTTCACAAGGCTGCACACAAACCCACCTTTTGTGAAAGTATGGGCCGTTCATTACTGCTTATGTTTTAGTCTGAGCCTTTTACGTTGCAAATATATGCTAACTCTGGGTACGCTGTGGGTTAGCAATCAGTTTCCCAGATGGAAGCGGAGGATTTCTTCACCTTTCTGCAACTCTCTGTAAAACTGTCTTTCTCACAAAGCAAATGAAAGTTGCTACTAACTTCACAGAAAAGCATTCATTAAAAAAAAATGTAAAAAAGTATTTTTACTTTGGAGTTCATAAGATCCAAGGAGTGCTGTGTTATGACTACATAACAGCGTTTTCTAGCCTTTAGATCGATCTGCTGTAATTTAAGTGTTTTGCATGTGTCCATGTGATGCGTCTTCTCACAAACCGCTGTAAAAAGCAACAGGTGTGTTATGTATGCGTGTATGAAAACTCAAGATGTGGAAAAAAAACGTAATAACAGAATTGATGTTCTTGCATGTTGGTTTTTATTTCAATAAATACTCCTTAAAGTGCAAGTCATAACAGTGATAACATGCAGTGCATAACAGAGAGAAATCCAAACCCCGATTTTTGGAGACAGATGGAGAAAGACGAACAGGAAAACACCTTCGTACAAGATAACGCTAAGTAATGTGCACCCACACAGATATCAAACACTCACCACAAAGAACGCAGCGTTCAAGGTCAGCGTTTAAAGGACAGATAAACAGAGAGGCCAGCTTTTTACTGGAAAACTCCCTTTAAAATTTGTAATTGAGTCACACCACACCAGTATATACTGGTTATATTGGGGCAGTTTGTGTATCTCTGCCTCATCTATTTTACAGGAAGGCATACTTCAACTACTGGGAAGCAGGCAAGTCATTTAAGACACAGAAAGTATTGTTGTTTTAAGAGTCTGGGTTTGCATTTTGGCAACTGTGCATACAGCTGCATGCATGTTGCAAGCATGTGTGTGATAAAGGGTTTAAAGATTACAGCTAAAACGCTTTACAATGATCCCTTCAAGTTAAAAGTCCTCATTCCCTTTTTAGTTAGACGCTGACAACTTTAGACCACGTCTTTCAACGCAGAGTCAACTGACCCAAAAGGTAACAAAGATGTTTGTTATAGTTTGTCCAACAGCAGCAGATTTAGAAACAGGTGTAATAATGTTAAGAGTTGGCTTATGAACCTTAGCCAGTGATTCAAAAAGAGAGGAACATATTACTAAAGATTTAACTGGTTCAACTCGACTGATCAAATTATTCTGATAAATTGCATAAGTCGATTTTTATGAGTGGGCTTCATTAAGAAAGTGCAAGTTTCAGTTTGTTTCTGGGTTTTTTTTGGCTGTGCTTGAGTTATCAGGGACCTCTACAGGCAAATCAATGCAATAACCATGGCTGTATTTACTTTTTAAGGTTTACTCAGGTGTTTAATGGCTTTTTAATTACATAATAGAGAAACTTTTTAAACGTTGAGGATAAATGAGTGACAAAACATCCAGATACAATGTAAAACAGCCTTTAGCTGATAGTTACTTCCCGTAGTTATCAAACCTTTATAGAAGAGGTAAGTCATGTAATAAGTTACTATTAAATAAAGAAATTGTAGCCAAGATTACGAAAAAAGTCCGAACTGACATCTTCTAAAAGTCAATACGATTGTTAAACAGTCAAAGTCTGAACTTTTGAGTGAGAAGCTGAACAGACCACATTGTTTAAACAATGAAAGCAAATGTTAAACAGTAAAATAATGACTTGCCACTGAAAACAGTAGCGCGCAGTAACCTTCAAGCACCTCGCCAGAGAGAAGTTTACATTCATGATCAGCTATAAGGCCATCTCTGAAGCTTCTGAACCGCTCTTTTTTCAGGATATTTATTCTTTAACATCACCTCAATGATTTTAAAATCTAGATTTGGTTCAGAAAGTTGAAGGCAAACCGCATGAGTAAAAGTAGAATGGGAGGCAGATCTTTTAGTTCTCAGGCTCCTCTCCTGTGGAACCAACTACCAGTTTTAGTCCGTGAGGCAGACACCCTGTCTACTTTTAAGGCTAGGCTTAAAACGTTCCTTTTTGATAAAGCTTCTAGTTAGAGTGGCTCAGGTTATCCTGAGCTATCTCTATAGTTCTGCTGCTATAGGCTTAGACTGCTGGAGGACATAGGGACCCCTTTTTTCATCCTTCTGCTTCATTCTATCTCTATTCTCCCACTCTGCAGAATCTGTTAGTTCAATCTCTAACGTTCTGCTCTCTCTGCTTTTTCTCATAGTAGCTTCATCTGGTCTGTTCCTGTTTGGCTGTGACTCCATCCTGGAGAGAAATATCAGCTGTGCTGCTGCCATCAACACCTTTGTTTCTAGATGTTGGAGCTTGGTCTGTTTTCCAGTGTAGTCCTGTTTCTCTGACTGTGACTAACTGGATGTGCTCTCTTCATCCTCTGACATGGGAGCTGGCTCGGAGCTCGTCTGCCTGGCTGTGTGTTTCCTGGACGGGGCCGCCTGTGGAGCTGGTTGCCTTTTGTATCTATGCTTCTTTTTCTATGTCTGCTTCTGTCTCCTTGAACCCCAGTGGGCCTCAGCAGATGGCCGCTCACACTGAGCCTGGTTCTGCTGGAGGTTTCTTCCTGTTCAAAGGGAGTTTTTCCTCTCCACTGTCGCTACAAGCATGCTTAGTGTGAGGGATTGCTGAAGAGTCAATGAGTCGATGCAATCAGCTGGTTTTCCTTAGATAGAAAAGTTTGAATCAATCTGACTGGATGATCTGGTGAACTGGAAAGTGACCTGAGATGACAGGATGTGAATTGGAGCTATAGAAATAAACTGAATAGAATTGTATAAACGAGCAGCTGGGATAATTTAATAACTTATTAAGGGAGAGGAATATTTGCAATTAATTCACTCTGTTTGCTTCCTAAAACCTGGCTTCTAAGCATAGCTCATATATTTTAGGACAAACCAGTGAGCTGAATATAAACTATAAGACGCTGGGACATTGCTGCATTAAGAGGATGCCAATCATAAAAAAAAAAAAACCTTCTTTAATACTACAAGAACTTTTAAAGGATTGAAAACACAACGTACCAACTGCCAAGCATGGCAGCAGAAGCATTATGTTAGGGGCCTAAGCCTCCAGGTAAGCTCTAGACACTGTTTTCTTGTTTTACATGAATAAATTCATGGCTATATATATATATATATATATATATATATATATATATATATATATATATATATATATATATATATATATATATATATATATATATATATATATATCTGTGCTGATGATGTATGAATGTAAACTTCTCAGTTAATCTGGTATCCTGTACCCAATGTTGGCATCTTAATCACGTACTGCTCATCCGCTGATACAAATAATCAGATTAGTAGAATGACTTCTTCTGATCACCATGGAGGGATTTCAATAAAAAGTATTAAAAAGCTTTTGCAGATTTTCAAGTCTGCAGACCAATGAGACGGAAAAATCCCTCAGTTTTATGTCAAACGGTAGGAAGGCAAACATTCGACCTTTTCCACCAAAACAAGCGGGATGAAACTCAGATGAGGGAAAAATATTAAAGCAGTTTTCCGTTCAATTTGAACATATTTTGGAAAAAAAAATAAACTGACATATATCAATGCCTGAAAAAACAAACATCATAATGATGTGCTCTCATAATTATATAGTCCTTTGCAGCAGTGAATCACACTGTAGTGTTTATCTACACAGCTTGAAACAACTGATTCACTGACGTCTAAGAGAAGTCAGCAATGACCAAACAGTCGACAGGAGCCAATCAGAGCAGAGCAGCCGCTCAGACGGCGACAGTACACAATAAAATAAATGCTTTTTTTCCCACCATCTCTTTGACCTTCCAGGTTTCATGACCAGCTCTGTATCTTCCAGCACAGATAGCTTTCCATTAACATGTGTGCAGAAATATCTGGCATTCTTTAAGGCATCTGTGTCTTCTGCTCCGCTGCAGCATTTACACGCCATCTCATACGGCAATACCTGCATCATGTCCTCTCTGATTAAAGGAAAAGTCCGGTCAGCAAGAAATCATCAATAGATCATTATCTATATCAAAAACTAATACTTTTGCTGTGATTTAATAAATTTAGTAAAAAAAATAAAACAATAATTTTCGTCGTGATCACTGAGTCGGGGACCGGTGTTGTATCAGTAGAGCATACCCCGTCAGACCAGCATACCCATAGTTAATACCTGTTTATCCCTTTCATTTTGTATGAAAAATAAATTTTAGACTACCTCAAAGGGGTGAGTATCCCATTAGTCATGTACAAAATCATTTTAAATTCTTACTTTTTGGTGTTTTTTTGAAACGTGTGGCGATCTGAACTAAATTTTTTATTTTTTTTGTACATGACTAAAGGGTTAAACGCCCGTCGAGGAAGTTTGAAGTCTATTTTTCGGACAATATTGACTATGGGTATGCTGGTCTGACAGAGCGGCCATTTTTACCCAAATATAGTAGCCCCTCCCTCCTGCCATCTTCCAGCAGTGACGTCACGGTGCGGTAAGCCTAGCGCCATTCTCCCCGCTTTACAAGCTAAATCAATGGGAACTACTAGACACATCTGCAATCAACAACAATTATTGAAGATTTCCAGAGGACTTCACCATTGAAATTCACCAGAGCTATAGTGAAACTGACGATGCCCACGTGCATGGCAGCTGGATGCTGGAATACATCGGGGAAAAGTGAAAAAAAAGAGTTATTCCACCTTTCTGATTCCTGATCCTCCACGGACGGGTTGGTCGTTGGATCGCCAACTTGAAGAGGGAGGATTTGCCATCGAACTTCTGGCCAGAGAAAAAACCCGTAATATGTAGCCAACATTTGGAAGAAGAATGTTTTCAAGATGACTTGGATAATAGCGCGTTGTGACAAACACCAGATACAGCACTGGGACTTGATCAACAGCCGATACCGCACCGTGACGTCACAAACCAGTAGGTGGCAGTAGTGTTCTTTGACAAACATGGATGCCTCCAGTAAAGCACATTCACATGAAAATTACTCTGAATTAAAAACACTGATCATTTTTTGAACAGGATGGAATCATTTCAGATTTGAAGAACTTTTAGAAGTTTTAAATCTGATTGTGAACGGACTTTTCCTTTAAATGACTTTTCTCTTCTTTTTTCTCAAAAGTTAAAGCGACACCATTTGTTCCAGTACGTCTTCAGTAAAGCCATCTGCTGTTTTTCAGCTCAGTGCGTTCTCGCCTGCTCCTCTTTCTGATGTCAGAGGCCTACATGTTTTTTTTTTAAATATAAAATTGTGTTTAAGTCCCACTGATAAGCTGAGCAGCAGCTGCTCCTATCAGAGCACGTTGGTATCGGACGGCGGACAGCGGCGTGGCACGGGGAGACAGTGTGCATGTTCTGCACAGAGAGCAAGCAGCACAGGCAGTTCTAAGCATCAGCGTCGCACCAGCCTGCCGTGCTTCATTAAACTATCTTAAAACTACTCAAAAATTAGGTCAAAAATCTGTGGAGATGTTTGGAATAAAACTAGTGCCTAAAAAAATAAATATGAATCTGATATCTAAATAATAATATTCTTTTCAATGTAGAAAGTGTTTTTTTTGGTATACCTTTGAAAATATATTTTTTAAACTATAATAAAGTAATATAAATATAAATGGACAAACATACCACCGATACAGAAGCTGAAATCTAGTGATGTTCCTCCAGAAACAGCTGCTAAAGACGAGCAGCAGAACGGACCTCAGCAGGATGTCCGGTCATTAAAAGGATCTACGGGAGGAGTGACAATAAACGGGACTTTTACCGACTCTGATGCGATTCTGACCTGCGATTCCTCCCCTTTTTTTTTCTGGCTTCCATAAGTTTACCAAAAACCTCCCGGATTTGCAGCTAGCCCTAAAACACACACGTACTTCCAGGTTACAGGGAAGCCTGGGAATCAGCGGACCTCAGCGAGCCAGCGTGGTGATGAAACTGGCGCACATTTCAAAGAAGTCCATGGTGTGAGATCCCTGACGTGGGGTAAGCAGGGGGGAACTACCGGACAGGGAGCCGGGCAGAGAGGAGCTCAGCTGGGGCAGATCGATAGCGGGGCTCGCAGAGTCGATGCTGAGGCGGGGTCTGTGGAGACCGGCGGTGGAGCCGGACCGCTGAGGGGTGGAAGAACCAGATTTCAACCCAACGGCCTCCATGATGTCATCTGTGGGAAACAGCGAAGCAGACGGACTATTCAGTAGCAGCCTAGCCTCAGGATGCATTGCTGACTCTGTGGCTATTTGTTCTCATGTTCAGGGGGGGGGTTTACCATAAGGCAATACTAGGCAGTTGCCCCAAGTTCCTGGGGGCCCCATAAGACTCTTTTTACATGTATGGTTAATACAACTCTTCCTTATTTGTGCACATTAATTATGTTTTTGATAAAAGTCCTTTTGTTAAAATGCCATCAGAACGCTGATAATATTAAGTGTGTCTCAGCCCCCCCCCCTTCAGTGTCCACCATATTGGATCAGTCCATTTGCTGCACATGTTCAGAAAGGTCCAAACAGACAGCAGCAAACCATTTGAAAACAAACCATGCAAAGAGCAGTGTTGCCAACTTAGCGCTTTAGTCGCTATATTTAGCCACTTTTCAGACCCCTCTAGCACTTTGATTTCTAAAAAGCTCCTAGCGCCAAATCTAGAGACTTTTTTCTGCTACTGGAGACTTTGGAGACAACATCTAAAAGCAGCGAACTCTGCTCTCCAGAGCGAGTAGATTGGTAACCCCGCCTCCTGCTCTCCTCTATCTTGTCTGCTGTCATGATTCATGCAGCTATTATTTCATCCAAATGAAAAATGGAGAACAGAGAAGCAGATCATGGCTTGTCTACAGTGAAAAGAAGGACTGGGTTATTTACTTTGGCCTTTTTGGAAACACAGGAAGGAGCAATCAGCTAAGTGAGCTTAGTGCTTGGAAAAAATCTTTCATTCCTTTAGAGACAGCATGAAAAGTCAGCTGAGTACAAAACATAGAGAGGAAAACAAGAAGAAAAGGGACAAGAAGAGAGGGACACAACCTAGAACAGATAATGGATGTCTATTCTATAAACATTTCTATATCTGGAGAATGGGGCTGTTTGATGTGTTGGCTTCTAAATTCAGAGGGGCCCCTGCCTGTCTTTGCCTAGGGCCCCAAATTTTCTAAATCCGGCCCTGGTAGCAGTAAAGCCTCAGGATGCGTTGCTAACTTTGTGTTCTCATGTTATTAGTATATAAATAGCGTGTTTTACAGAAGGTCACCTTTATATATTTAAAAAGAATAATCAACATATACCGTATTTTCACGACCATAAGGCGCACCGTACTAAAAGGCGCACTCTCAGTTATGTGTGCCATTTCTGTATTTAACACACACATAAGGCGCACCGGACTATAGGGCGCGTTTTTTATATACAGGTACATGTCCTCTACTACCTTTAAATACCTCTACTGCGTATTTAAAAATACAGCGGGGGCAAAACTGAGTATGATTGTGCTTTATTCATGTATTTATTACAAAGTATTAATCAAACCCATCAAAGTCATCATCCTCTGTTTCTGAATTAAACAGCTGCGCTAAATCAGACATGCCAGTTTCCCCTTCTTCGCTGTCAGAGTCACTTTCCGTGCAGCGCGGCTCCTCAGAAATAATGCCGGCTTTTGCGAAAGCTGGAACAACAGAGCCAGCAGACACGTTAGTCCAAGCATCAACAATCCATCCGCTAACGGTGGCGTAACTTGCCCGGCGCTGCCTTCCACTTATCCTGAAACTGTGGTCTCCGTCGGTCATCCATCGCTCCCACGCCGCTCACAGCCTTACTTTAAACGGCCGGTTCACACCGATGTCAAGCGGTTGAAGTTCCTTTGTCAGACTTCCCGGAATAACAGCGAGCACAGCGTTCATTTGTTTCACCATGTTTTTCACATCAGCTGTGAGATGGGCACGCATGGAGTCACAGATTAACAGCGATGGTGATGCGTGGAAAAAAACCACCTGGTCTCCTCACATACACCTCCCTCAGCCACTCTTTCATCATCTCCTCAATGAGGAGATGAGGAGTTCTGCATAAAGCACATACCTGTTCTTTTATACACAATCCACGCCCACACTTCCCCCTTTAATGTTCTCATGGCGGTCTCAACAACGTCCGCAGTAACAACGCACTATAGGGCGCGCCGCACATTTTGAGGGAAAAAAAGATGTTTATATGCGCCTTATAGTTGCGAAAACACGGTAAATATAATATTACATATTTTTTTTTATGTTGACAAACATAAAAAACCCTAAAAACCCTAAAAAAGCAAAACAAAACAAAACAAATAGCTACACATCAATGTATTTAAAACTTTACCTAAAACTAAATCTCTAGATTTACATTGTTTGTAGTGAAAGATTTGAAAAGATTCCTTTATTAAAGCTTTTCAGCATCTTTACCAAGGATGCCGATGGATGTGAGGGGCACCATGCTGCCATGCGTGACGTGCTGCTAAAGCGCTCTGACTCAATCGTTTTAATCTAGTGTCACTAAAGTCTAAAGAAATGCATATTCTAAGTAAAGTTTATTTTATCTGCTGGTTTTTTTTTTTTTTGTCAGAAAATACAAAGATGTGCATTTTTCCATGGATTACCATCGATGCTCTTGAAGTCGAGGAGGTAGGACCTGTTGTCGACTTGGTAGAGCTGCAGGCTCATTTTCACCAGGTTTCCAGTAACGGGATTTTTCCGCCGGACACGCAGATGATACGGGTTCACCACCTGCCACACAGGAAAACAATCGGATGAACACTTTCCTTTTAACCACACAGCTTAATGTCCCCAAAAACAATCCTGTTACCTTCCAGTCAAAGTTCAGCTGCTTCATGGCTCTGTACACCTCCGCCATGATGTCGTACGGCCGGCTCTGACTTCTGATACCGAGGTGCCATTTAGCCTTCTTCACCGCCAGAGGTTTGGGCCGGGTTGTGTTCAGAGCATCCAGAGGACAGCGAGATTTGGGGCTGTCGGCCAAAAGCGGAGGCATCCTCTCTGGGTGGGGTTTGACGCCGGGGGGCAGCGGCATGCCTTCCTCTATGAAGGAGCCCTGTGGAGGACTGGACGCCAGGTAGAACTCACTGGCCTGGGTCATGATGCGCCGGTTATCTATGATGAGGTGATAAGCTACTGCTAACTGATCCTAAAAACACAAAGCAGAGTGGAAATTAAAGATCATTATTAACTTTATTCTTCTTTTGTCTGTTGCTTGTTTGTTTCGTCATAACTTGTTTCTGCATCTTTCATTGGGTTGCATTGATGTGTTTTATAATAAAGGTAAGATAAGGTAAGGAATCATGATGGAAGCCCACGATTTAAATTGCCTGGTTCTGTTTTCTTACTACTTTCTTAAAGGAAAATATTCAGAATTCAAACTTCTGAAAGTTCTTTAAATCTGAAATGATTCCATCCTGTTCAATAAATGATCAGTGTTTTTAATTCAGAGTAATTTTCATGTGAATGTGCTTTACTGGAGGTATCCATGTTTGTCAAAGAACACTACTGCCACCTACTGGTTAGTGACGTCACGGTGCGGTATCGGCTGTTGATCAAGTCCCAGTGCTGTATCTGGTGTTTGTCACAACGCGCTATTATCCAAGTCATCTTGAAAACATTCTTCTTCCAAATGTTGGCTACATATTACGGGTTTTTTCTCTGGCCAGAAGTTCGATGGCAAATCCTCCCTCTTCAAGTTGGCGATCCAACGACCAACCCGTCCGTGGAGGATCAGGAATCAGAAAGGTGGAATAACTCTTTTTTTTTCACTTTTACCCGATGTATTCCAGCATCCAGCTGCCATGCACGTGGGCATTGTCAGTTTCACTATAGCTCTGGTGAATTTCAATGGTGAAGTCCTCTGGAAATCTTCAATAATTGTTGTTGATTGCAGATGTGTCTAGTAGTTCCCATTGATTTAGCTTGGAAAGCGGGGAGAATGGCGCTAGGCTTACCGCACCGTGACGTCACTGCTGGAAGATGGCAGGAGGGAGGGGTTAATATATTTGGGCAAAAATGGCCGCTCCCAGACTCAGTGATCGCCATGAAAATCCTTCCTTGCTCACTGGACTTTTTTTCTTTAATATTTTTAATAAAAAAATATTTTTTCTAACACTGGCACACATTGTTCCATGCATATTTTCTGACCTGTGGATCTCCGCTGTAGAGGCTGGACATGACTTCAGAATCGGTGCATTCAAACTTCTCACACACCTCCCTGACGGCGTCCTCGTCCAGGACGGTGGCGTCATACGACGGGTCCTCTGGGAACAGGTAGCCTGGCAGGTCCTGCTTAAACCAATCATGCTCCCTGTTGGAACACAGAAAGGTCACAGATGTGCTGCTGGAAACAATTAAAAAAAGATTTGGAAGTAGGAACTTTTTATTTAATTGAATTTTTATATTACAGTGCAAAGCAAGTGATTTTGATAAAATTAATATCATTTATGGTAACCATCTTAATCTCCAAAGTAAACGAATCAAATAATAAAGTGTTAAAAATTCATAGAAGGCGGCCAATGAAAAATAAATAAAAGCAACACATAAAAACAAAAAAAAAAGAAACCTCAACACTAACGTCATTTTCCTATTCAAGTTCCTATATATATTCCACTCCCTTTCCTCTGACATACAATTATAACAATAACTGAACTTTATTGATTTACCTCTGCATTTAACCCCTCCCGTCGGGGATCAGTGGGCTGCCATTGTGCGGCGCCTGGGAAGCAGTGTGGGGTTAGGGGTCTTGCTCAGGGACCCATAGGGGCAGGCTGGGGGATCGAACCGGGAATTTGCAACCTTCTCAGAGCACAAGTTTGAGCTGTAGCTGCGTGCAACGATTGAAAATATCGCACAGTGTCTGCCCGGCTTCAAAAGGAGGCTGTTTAAGATATTTACAGCAGTAATAAATGTATAATTAGTTATTTTGTAGGAAAAACAAATCGATGGGCTGCTGTATTCAACCACTAGTTAGTATAATATTTGATAATAATAACTTTGATTTGATGGATATGATGGGATTTTCTCTCCTTAATAATAGCACTTTTGACAACTAAATACTAGAGCCCAGATTAGTCTAGAACAGAAAATATAAGCATCGTCTGGGAAAGTGTCGCTTGCTTCAGATTAGAAAGAAATAAAGAGACGAGAGGGAAGATTACCGTCTCCAGAGCTCAGCGATGAGGATAAACCCGGATTAGAGGTGGTAAAGGTTTTCCTCCCTCAGGGAGAAAGGACCACTGGCAGGCATGAATGCCAGATTAGCCGTCATTGAGAGGTGTGCGTTCATCTAACGTTCAGAAGCGTTTACCTAAAGGTGGTCGTTTTCACGTGTCAAAATGTCATGTCTGTCTGTTCCCTTTGACTACCAGAAGGCTAAAACCAACAATATGCAGAATGGGTTTAATGGGCTGAAGGGCAATTTTCTGCTTCGACCCCCAACTGGGACCAAACCAGCTTTGCAACAAATCCTTTGGGCCCCAACGCAGCTAACCAGCTGATAAAATGCAGAACCTCTAACCTGATGTCTTTGATGGTGGCTCTTTTCAGTGGATCCACCTGCAGCATGAGCATGAGTAGCGAGGCCACGGAGCGGGTCAGGTACTCGGGGATGTAGAAAACGCCTCCTCTGATCTTCTTGAACAGGGTGGGGACGTGCTCATCATCAAAGGGCAGAGTGCCGCACAGCAGGGCGTACAGGATCACTCCACAGCTCCAGATGTCAACCTCTGGGCCTGCATACAGCCTGAAAGAGACCAGACAGGGTTTCACAGCTCAGTGACACTAATACTGTAAAACACTTGGAAATGATGATCGGTTTGGTCTATAATAAAGATGGACTCGACCTTGAAATTTATGCTGGTTGAGATTCTAAGTCATCCAGGTCAGAGTCATTACAAAAAAGTTAAAAATTAATCCAGCGGACTTTCCGTAAAAATTCAAAAAATATCCACTGGACTTGGTTTTCAAGATTTGAAGACGTTTCGCCACCTCTCCAGGAAGCTTTCTCAATTCAAATGTCTGGATCCGCAGTGAGTTTGAGTCTTATATAGACAACGCCTTGTGGACTTTGTTTCCAAGTTTGCAGACGTTTCTCTTCCCATCCAGGAAGCTTTTTCAATTCAAAATGGCAGAAATAGCGTTGAGTACATCCATCCATCCATTTTCCATCACGTTTATCCCAAGCAGGGTCGCGAGGGCTGCGGGTGTCTATCTCCAGCTGTCCACGGGTGAGAGGCGGAGTCCACCCTGGACAGGTTGTCAGTCCATCGCAGGGCAGCGTTGAGTTAAAAAACCTACAATTCAGCAATTGAGTGGATTCCATCCCGATATCACCCCATTACAAGGGACCAGAGCACCTCGCCTATTCAGCCAGGCCAGCAATTCCCTCTAACGACCCCCTTTCAAAGACATAGACAGGTATGGGGCATTGCAGGCTAACAAAGAAACAAAACGAACCCCATTTCTAAGGGGCGGACCCGTTTGTCAGGTTTAATTTGCATATTTTCTAAACCAAAGCAAGGCTTTGTTGGTCCACTTTCTAAAGCCTGGAACTCAACTCTATTTCTGACATTTTGAATTGATAAAGCTTCCTGGATGGGAAGCAAAACCCCACCAAACTTAGCAACAAAGTCCAGTGGATTGTTTTTTTACTTTTTTGGAACCTTGAACTAGTTTACATACAGTTGGTGATAATCTTGAAAAAAATGAGTCATTCTAGCATCCTAGCAGTGCCAGTTGCAAATGCATAAAAACACAAACGTGTCCCGACACTTTCCAACAATAACCAGCTGGATGATAAAGGGCGTAAGTCTGCTGACTCACTCATAAGCTTTTTACAGGTCTTACCCATATCACCATCAACTAGGGGTGAGTGTTGGCATGTTGCAATAACATATGTGTCACAATACGATATTACCACAATATAGCAATATCACCAAAAATTTTTAGATAAAAAAGAAAGTGCTGTATATGTTCATTAGAAGCCTTAAGGCTGGTTTATGCTCAGAAACCAGGACCTCTGCGTGTGTCGCAGTTAACGCGGATATGGCCCCGCCCCTTCCGCAGACACTCTGCTGCACCTCTCCAAAACTATAGGTGACCGCAGACAATGACGCAGACAGGAGGCCTCTGATTGGTCAAATCTACGTCCGCTCTAGTCTATGCATATTTCCTGTTTGGTTCCTTACCGGCTTGTTTTGTTTGCCTGACCGCCATTGTGGAAAACAACTGGTGAAGATTGAGCAGCTAGAAGAGCGAGGTGCGCGAGAACGCTGGGACCCTTTTTCCACCTGGATCCCCGCTCTTTTTGGCCCTCATGTCCCTCCGTTGACGCGCAAACTTGCCCCCATTTCCTCACCGCCTCGGCTTTATCCTGATTGGCCCTCTGGTGTGGAATAACATAGCGCAGACCACGCTTCAATATTGGGGATAAATCTCAAATATCTGCGACACGCTGCTGCGGGAGGATAACCAGCCCTTTAGGCTTAAACAACGTTTTTTTCCTAATGTAAACAAAATAAAACTTGTTTTTTTTTCCAGTTCGCAGCAGTGATCAAATATAAACATTGTGAGAAAAAAAAAAAAACTAGTGCAAAAAATTAAAAAATAAAGCACGCATTGATATATGGTCAGTTTGATGCAGAGACTGTGACATGATTTAGTCTTCTTTGTTTTATGTAATGTACACTGCCTGGCCAAAAAAAAAGTTGCCCCCCCAATAAAAGGTCATTCACTCTAATACTTTGATGGAGCGCCTTTAGCTTTGATTACGGCACGCATTTGCTGTGGCATTGTTTCGATAAGCTTCTGCAATGTCAAAAGATTTATTTCCATCCAGTGTTGCATTAATTTTTCACCAAGATCTTGCATTGGTGATGGTAGAGTCTGACCGCTGCGCAAAGCCCTCTCTAGCACATCCCAAAGATTCTCAATGGGGTTGAGGTCTGGACTCTGTGGTGGCCAATCCATGTGTGAAAATGATGAGTCATGCTCCCTGAACCAGTCTTTCACCATTTGAGCCCGATGAATCCTGGCATTGCCATCTTGGAATATGCCTGTGCCATCAGGGAAGAAAAGGTCCATTGATGGAATAACCTGGTCATTCAGTATATTCAGGGAGTCAGTTGACCTCATTCTTTGAGCACATACTGTTGCTGAACCTAGACCTGAGCAACTGCAGCAACCCCAGATCATAACCCCGCCCCCACAGGCTTGTAGAGTAGGCACTAGGCATGGTGGGGGCATCACTTCACCTGCCTCTCTTCTTACCCTGATTGGCCCATCCCTCTGGAACAGGGTCAATCTGGACTCATCAGACCACATGACCTTCTTCCATTGCTCCACAGTCCAATCTTTATGCTCAGTAGCAAATTGAAGCCTTTTTTTCCGGTTAGCGTCACTGATTAGTGGTTTTCTTACGGCTACAGAGCTGTTCAGTCCCAATCCCTTGAGTTCCCTTCGCATTGTGCGTGTGGAAATGCTCCTACTTTCAGTATTAAACACAGCCCTGAGTTCTACTGTTGTTTTTCTTCCATTTGATCTCACCACACGTTTAAGTGATCGCCGATCACCATCATGCAGGATTTTTTTCCGGCCACATTTCTTCCTTGAAGATGATGGGTCCCCACTATCCTTCCAGTTTTTAATAATGCGTTGGACAGTTCTTAACCCAAGTTTAGTAGTTTCTGCAATCTCTTTAGATGTCTTCTCTGTTTGATGCATGCCAATGATTTGACCCTTCTCAGACAGACTAACGTCTTTTCTACGACCACTGGATGTGTCTTTCCACATGGTTGTTTAGGAAATGAGAAGTTGGGGTTAAATAACTTGTTGCCAGCTGAAAGATAATCGCCCATTTAGTAATTATCCAATAGGAGGCTCGTAGCTATTTGCTTAGTTGAATCCAGGTGGCGACCTTTTTTTTTGGCCAGGCAGTGGAGTTTTACATTCAGAAGTTATTTTGGTATCCATGTTGTTTGAGTCAGTCCACGTCTTCCACCATTACTGCCACAACTACAGGTATGGGGCTGCGCCGCACAGCGCTGTCTGCCAGAGTGACAGATCCCATTTTCCTTTTTCATTATTGGTGAAAATGTTTTGTTGTTTTTTTTAAATCGATATAAGGAACCCAAAGTTCGATATTATATCGGGCAGCCAATAGTCATGATAAATCACCAAATCAACGTTTTCCCCACATCCCTACCATCAACTATATCCAGACTCAGCATCCTTGCTGATGAAGGGCATTATGCTGCCGCACCGTGTTTCATTATGCAATATGTGTGTCCAGGTAGATTCGGAGTGTAACGTAGCTTTTGCACCTAAACAAAGAAGTTTGGCTTCTAGTCTCCACCGGTGGGAGCTCCTTCTGCAACATTGTTCCCTACTTTCATTGTTGGTCAAAGTTAAACAGAATCCCTTCAGGGTTTTCTCTGCAGCCTCTCCATAGTTACCACTGATGTCTTGGCTGTTATTCTCATTCAAGCTCTCATTATCTGTGTTATCCATTTGATTTGCATTTTTTAATTTAAGATGGACTAAACATGCTTTGTTAGATGTCTTTAAGTTTGGTATAGAATACTTTTACCAGTCTGTATTCCTTGGCCTTTGTGAGTTGTTTTTTTTTCTCCTAATTAATCCCTAAAGCGTTCATAGAACGGCTGCTAATAACCAAAGGTTTATGAGATACTGGGAATGTATTGAGTCACTCTTTAAAGGTGCTTAGAAGAATCGAATCTTAAGGGTTTTGAAATGTTTTTAAATAATTTTTCCTCCCATTTATTAGTTCTTTTTTTGTAAATCATTTATATTTAATATTAATGTGATTAGTTAAAGGACTGAGTCCAGGAAATTAACCTTGTAACTTACTTAATTGGCTGAAATTAACTGGACTGAAAGTACTAAATAAAAACAATCCAAATGCTGATCTGTGTTTACTTTTAAAGCAGCGTCCTGAACATATCAAAATCAAGCCACGCCAAAGACATACTGTGATAAGGGTGTCCTTCAGGAGGCCAGGAAAACTAGAAAAATAAGAAATCTGCCAGTAGAGTTCAATAAATCACTGCTTCTAATGTGTATGAAGACATGAAGAGTAATTAGAGTGAAAGGCTAAAGTTTAATAATAAAAATAATCAGAATCAGTCATGGATTATGAATCCAAACACACCTTCCTGAGATGACCTCTGGAGCTGCGTAGTTGGGTGATCCGCAGCTCGTTCGTAAGAATTCTCCATCTGACATCATGTTTGAAAGTCCTGTAAGCCAATCACAAGGCAAGCACACATTAACGTCCGTCTCTATTTACTGTAACAGAAAATAAGCAAAGATCAAATTGTTGCTTCTGATCCTTTGATACAAACAGAATAAACTGAATGTTGCCATAAGGTGGCAATATTACCTCTCCTAGAGTCTAAACACAGAGCTGCTCTGATTGGATGAGCCTCCCTCTGTGACCCCCCCCCCCCTCCCTCTGATCACCGTCGTCTTCTAGCCCGGAGCCAAAACACTCCTCCCGCTGCAGAGACACCCCCCACCCCCCTTCTGCCACACCCCTGCCGATTCCTTCCCTATCAGATGACACTGGGCCTCAAGGCTTCCTGCCAGACTTGATATGAGACCTGGCCGTTGCTAAGGGCCGTCTCACCCCCCCACACACACACACCCGCTGTGTACAAGGGCCCTCGCCTGTTCCAGAAAATATTTCCCTCTCTCATGGTCATATTGCGTTCAATCTTCTGTTGTCAACCCCAAAAAAAAGAATCCTCTAACTCACAGGTCTCTACTGAGGTCTATTCCTATTAGTTCACTCGTAAATAAATTTATCAGCTCCAAACTACAACATTAAAATGCAGGATTTAATCACACAGATACTAAAAGATGCACATTTTTATGGGATCTTACCAAAGTCAGCAATCTTGGCGTTCTTGTTGGCATCAAGCAAAACGTTCTCCGGTTTGAGGTCTCTGTGGACCACCATGTGCCGGTGACAGTAGTCCACAGCAGAGATAATCTGCTGGAAAAGACGGCGACCCTCTGAGTCCTCCACCTGAGAGACACCATGTAACAGGAATGAATTAAAACCTTACATATCATCGACTTTAACTTGCTCTTTTCATCTAAGGTTTTTTTTGTTTTGTTTTTAGTGAATGGTCACAGAGATGATTTTGTGGCTTTATTCTAACTACAGTGGATTCATTTATGAACAGACTAAAGGTGTTACCATGTAATTATACTCAAAGCTGTATCCCTTGATTGGTGGCCACTGGGGGGCAGCACAAACAACATGATATCTCCTTGCTACAGTCGTAGGCTAACCTGACTCCGCCAGATGGATTTGCTCCGCATATCCATCTGGAAACCTTCCGTTGAAGTAATTTTGGGAAGGGGCGAAAATACTGGTTAGCTGATTGGCCTATGTTGGTGATAGACGGGCCAAATAAACCAATCAGATCAACAAAGCATATGACGTACTAACAGAGCGACGACGAAAACACAACCACAAGCCAGGCACAAGCCAATTGATAGATCAATCTCTTGCCGAAACCAGTCGGGAGAAGAGCAAAAACATCTTTTCCTCTGAGAAAAGCCTCCAGAGCAGTGTTTTGCTCCTCTTTCAGTCAAGAAATACTCTGTAATTCCGATAAAACTTGCTCGATAGCCACGCTAACGCTAGTTTCATTGGCTGAAGCCGCCATGTTCTTTAGACTGAACTGTCGCGCTTCTCGTTGCATCACACCTCAACCCGCCTCAAAGCCAACGCTGATTGGACGTTCGTTTGGTGAACGGCTCCAAATTTTCTTTAACGGAGAGTCTCCAGACTGATTAGCGAGTGAAACCTTGAAAGCTCGCGAGATCAGGATGGTCTCACTAGGCTAGTCGTAAGCATCCCAAATTTCCCCACTTTCCTTGATGGACCCTTGGCTTGTCCGCTACAACTCCTTTTTAAACATCTAAAATATTCTTTCTGTCATGATTTGTGGACAATAAGATCTAAAGAGAAGCGTTATCAAACCCTGTAATTCAATGAAAGGGTGGAGTCAGGGGGAAAAAAAATGCACACCCAAGAGACCAGTGGCTGGAAGGTAGAGGGGATTCGGCTGGTGTTTGACTGGGAAGGGCCATTTTGAATGGCTGCTACTGTACTTTGAAAAAGTAAATTACTGCCTTTTCTGTTAGAAATGCAGCATATTAAAATCAGTTTGTTTTCCCCTCTTCAGCTCTGACCAGTAATTGGCTAGTCGAATACTCAGGAGTACGTTAAGAAAATGTATTACTCCCCAGAATAAGTATAAATATAAGCAAAAGTACGTATATTCATTAGTTTAGGTGTTGGAAAAATTCAGAAACCTAAATTTAAAACTTTGTATTTTAACAAAAGATAAGGAGCAGTTTAATCGTAGTAAAAAATCTAAAAAAAAAAAAGTACAGATGGTTACCTTTTCCATTGAGTAAACCCATATTTACATTACTGTTATGGGTCAGGAAAAGGACATTAGAGTAAACAGTAGCTGTAAGTGGGTAAGAATAGACTTCTACCTACTAAACATCCAGCAGTTCCTGTTGTAAAGACTTGATAAGCTACTTGATAAGGTAAAGACAAACACACAGCTCATTACTGCCATCACTACCTTTTAGAAAGTGTTATCAATATTTGATTCTGACACCAGAGTAAATAAGAAACATCTGACTTTCCCCTCTAGTAAAACCAAAGCAGGCTGAGTTCTTCAATGGGCAGCTGAACAATTTAAACATCTTAAACTGGAAAACATAGTTATAGCATATCCTCAACCACATTTTAATGCTAATGCTACGTTCAGACCGCACGCAGTACGAGAAGCTAAAACTAGCGTTGAACCAATGCAATGTTTTGGCCCCCATACCGATAACCGATACCTGGCTGTGCAGTATCGGCCCATACCGATACCATCTGTTTGAAATTGATGTGTGTATATATGAAGAACTGCAAACTACTGGATGTAAAATAATTGCCATCATGGTGTGTCAAAGCTGCTGCCTGCCTTTGTGAAGGAGGAAAAATATTAATAGAAATAATCCGATACCGATATCGATGCAACACTAGCAAAAACACGCTGGATGCTTCATTTCTGATTCTTGTACAGGTTTAGTTCTGACGAACGGCTGATGGTCTCTGCTGCTCTAGCTTTGCGGTGGTAAAGCGGGTCTGATGCGCGGTGGGCGGAGCTACCCTATCCTTTCTCTGCCTGGAACAATGGCAGCTATATTAGCTGTGATCAGCGGGTAAAAAGTAGTTAGAATCTATGTTGAAGTGAGAAAGTCCTCCTGAAAACATGGTCTGTGCAGTCAGTTCATCCAGATTACCATCCTGCCTTCAAAGATTATTCCTCTGTGGGAGCCGCTCAGACCCCCACATACCGGCGCTGCGCTGTCACTGGGAATCCCCAGCAGCAGCTGCCTCAGGCCCAGTCGCCTCTTCACTGTCTTTCACTACTGTTTGCAGCTCCTGAACGTTCTTCACATGCGTAATCCAAACTGCAGGCAGCAGGATAATAAAACCGAACATATTCTGCCGGCAGGTTTCTGCATTTGAAGTTAATTTAGGCGTTAATAAACTGTTTCAGAGGAGTGATCATAGCGCTCTGCATCAGCAGTGCTGTGTCTGACTCCCTGCCAGCTCCCAGATCAGCTTCTCTGGTTGGTTGATGCGGCACGTCCAGCAGCTAAGGTTACATTTTACTCCAGCAGCTGCTGCGTTCGCAGCGCGTCGCTGCTCCTCCTGCTCAAAACGCGCTGCAGGACCTTTTGCCTTCATGCATGTCAACCATTGACTTTGCACGTAAGCTAGCTGCTTCTGCTGCCTCTGCTGATTGCGGTCTGAACGTAGCGTAATGATACAAAAGTAACTTAAAAATAGAAAAAAAAGCCTTAAAGGTATAAAAGTATCAGAGAACATAATCTATTCCTAATAGTTGTCATTTCAAACCAAAAATAATTGAGTAATGTTTTTTTTGATTTGAAGAAGATTCCTCCCCCAGATTCTAATAACACTGGGAAACTTTATTATATAGTATTTACAAAAAGACACATTCTAAAGACTGAAGTCCAATTTATGGAAAAATACGTTTTGATTTTGCCTGAATTATTAGAATTATCTTAATAAAAATGTCCAAAGGTTTAAAAAAACAGATTTAATACCAATCTATAACCTCTTCAGTGGGTTAACCCAAATCTTTATTATTTTCCCAAGAAAAAAAAGAAGTACCCTTCCGTTTTTGCAGATGTAGTCAAACAGCTCCCCTCCGGACACGTACTCCATGACCATGAAGAAATCTGTCGGTGTGCTAATTACCTGGTAGCTGGGAGAAAAACGGCAGGTTGTGTTAACATGAACTCTGCTCCAAGTATCTAAAGTCAGTTTAAAAACAGGACAACATGCGCAGCTTAAAAACAAGCACTAAACGTAGCAGGGCTTGACTGAGCAATGCTTTCATAAAGGTCATGTTTATTACACTGCAAGGCCAACCTCACAAACTGCTGCTTTAGGGAGATAGTGCTCTTCATTCCTGTTAGTGGAGTGTTACAAGCCCAGCAGCGGGGGGGGGGGGGGAATAAATCCAAAATAAATCACAATCCTTTCTCCTCTATGTAAACACACAAAGCTTTTCCAGACTAATGAAATCAACATAATAAAGTAACTGAGCTTGGCCTTTTCTGCCAACATCTGGGATGAATTAGAACGCACCTTCCTTTGGTCTACTGGCTCATCAATGGTTGTTGTTGTATAGATGCTGTTAACCAGATCAGGGCAAAATCTATGCAGTATTTTAGCAGCCGATTAATCTAAAGATTGATTGTTTTGACCATCAATTGATCTAAAATGAGATAATCTTTGTGAAACACCATACTTCTATAAAACAAAAAACATTTTAAATGGCAAAACTTGTCAAATAAAAAACAATTTTTACCTATAATAAAGACATATGCATATATATATATATATATATACACATTTTTAGGTGTGCATATATATATATATATATATATATATATATATATATATATATATATATATATATGTGTGTGTGTATATACTGTGTATATTAGGGCTGCAACAACGAATCCATAAAATTGATAAAAATCGACTTTTAAAAGCGTTGGCAACGAATTTCATCATCGATTAGTTGTGTCGCGCGATTAATGCGTCATCCGCCGCCGTCGGCAGCTGCTGCCGTTAGGCGCCTCCCCCATCCCAGCCCCGTTCTCCCGCAGGAGTCCCTCTCAGCGCTGCAGTCAGAGCCGCAGGATGTTTACCCTCAGCGTCCAGACTGCAAATGAAGCGTGTATGCGCCGGGATTGATGGCCGAAATTGATCACAATAATTAAAATAGCCTGCGCTTTGTAAAGCGAAAAAAGTCGTAACATGCAACTTTTGTAAAAACAAATGAACATGGCACGGAAGCAACACTGTTATGATACAGCACCTGAAAAGGAAACACGTTGGAGCCTTCGATGGCAGTGAAGAGAGCTGATCAGCAGGATGAGCGGCCATGTTTGTTTGGTTTTAAAGTGGGGAAACGTAACGTTAGTTTCTCAGGTAGCTCATCTGATGCTTTCCTTACCTTGTTAGTAGGTTACAGACAGTGATAAGGTTGGCTACTTATTTTACTTTTCATTTCATTTGAATTAGCTTAAGCAGCGTTTATATTTTCTTTATAAATAAATTAACTTGCAAATTATGAGGGCAAGGCTTTTAAAGTTTAAATCTTCTGGCAAAGATAAAGTAAAGAAGATCCTGCAATTTATGGAAGTAAAGCAGAATAAAATCCAGCAAGATCAGTAATATGTCAATTAATTATCTGCCACATTCCCATGTAAATATCTGTCTTTGGAGGATGTGTTTTTTAGCACCCCTAGTTCTCTCATTTTTATTCCAAATACAATTTATAATTTGAATCACAGGGCTATTTTTATCTCTATGGTTCAGTATTTTCTCAAGTAGCAACTTTAACTGCTATACTTTCCTGTCTTAAAAGGCAGAACTCTTCTAGTCTAAAAAAACCTCATTTGTTGAAATGGGGGGGCCTATTGTTTGAACCCCTTAGGGGCTTTTAAAAACAAAAATGTCTTATTTTGCGCTTTATGAAACAAAGTAGCCTATATTTTGTGGATGTACAGCTACATTTCTCATGTAAGTTTGCGTAGTTTTAACACAAACATTTATTTTTCATATTGCACCAGTACAGTTAATGAGCAACCTGTACTTGTGTGCTTGTTTGTTCTGTCTAAAATGTTTATTTTGGAATAAAGAGGTTAATATAAAAAATATTTTTTGTCTGATTCATCGATTAATCAAAAAATAATCGGCCGATTCATCGATTTTTAAAATAATCGTTAGTTGCAGCCCTAGTGTATATATATATATATATGCACACATACATACAATAAGTATTGAATTTTCTGACTTATAGTTTGAGCCCCAGTGGCTTTGTCTAAGTCAGACAGAATTCCTTGTAAAGAGCGGAGAGCTCACACATCTGAGTGTGAAAGTGTCGACTGAACCTTAAAATAACACAGATTGTTGGCTGACAAAGAAAGAAGACAGCATTTAAAGTCAACTAACACAGGATTTATCTGAACTGGAGGATCTGAAAAGAGGCAGGTTTCTTTGTCTAGGTCCATGCATGTATGATTCTGTGCGATAAAAACAGGAGGCAGTGTTATTGTTTTTGTGTTTTCTAGCCTGTGGGAATCTTTCAGGTATGACCCGTACAGAACAGCAATAGTAAACATGCAGGAACCAGGAAGCTCTGTTATCACAGACAGCATAACACAGCACCAGCATTAAAAACAGCCAGTTATAGAACACTGATACGTTTTACGTCAAATTCTTGCTAGAAGAAACTCTTTCACTCGCTTGGGGAGTGTGAGTCTTTCTCTTACTTACAGCTTGATGATGTGAGGATGTCTGAACAGTTTGAGATTCTGGATCTCTCGCTTGATTTTTCCAACAACATCCAGGCTGCGGATCTTCTGTCTGTTCAGGATCTTCACGGCGACTTTGTGGCCTGTCAGTTGATGCTGTCCGACTAAAATAGCAAAAACACAGACAGGACACACAAATTAATTCCAGGAAATCTCTAGATAACTAAAAATGTAAAGATAACCGCATAAGATTACTCTTTTGTTTTTAAACTGAGGGTTTCATCGGCACTTGCGATGTAAGAAACACAGATCACCACCAAGGGTGCCGTGTATTCAGTAGCTCAAACTCTGTGGTTAGAAATATAAATAACATATATTATTCATAGTTAAACATGTCTTATCTATGAAGTTTTTGAGCACGCATTCAAGAGTAGAACTGCATAAACTTCTCTAAACAGCATTAAATCATTTAGCACTAAATAAACAAATCATAAATGGCAAAGCAAGAAAATCTCTTCTTTTTGTAACTTTTTTTCTCTGCTTCTGTCTCCTTGAACCCCAGTGGGCCTCAGCAGATGGCCGCTCACACTGAGCCTGGTTCTGCTGGAGGTTCCTTCCTGTTCAAAGGGAGTTTTTCCTCTCCACTGTCGCTACAAGCATGCTTAGTGTGAGGGATTGCTGAAGAGTCAATGACTCGATGCAATCAGCTAGTTTTCCTTAGATAGAAAACTTTGAATCAATCTGACTGGATGATCTGGTTGAACTGTGAAGTGACCTGAGATGACATGATGTGAATTGGAGCTATAGAAATAAACTGAATAGAATTGAAAACAAAAAAATCAGAGAGAGATCACGTCCATGTGTCAGTTTTATGGAAAACTGACACATGCTTTGAGACTTCAGCAAACTCAAAGTGGATGAAATGGAAAACATTCAAGACAAAAGACAGCGACAAAAAATAAAGAACTAGATAAAGCGGATGGGACAAAGGTGAACTAGAGAAATGGCTCCCAAGCAAAGGTTTTATGTTGAGTGTGAAGTGTTCATGGACTACGACAAGTTTTAGAGCCAGGTTAGAGATTCTTAAATTTTTTTTATTTTGAGAATAAAGTCGTAATATTACAAGAATAAAGTCATCATACAACAAAACATTTCAGAAAGAAAGCTTGGAGCTCCGCCCAGCAGATGACGGCCGACCAGCTGCACCAATCAGCAACCAGAGTCCACTTTGACATCCTGCCCAGTTTGATGCTGCTGCTAAAAGATTTCCTGATTTTTCAAACCGATGCTAAAGTAGAACTTCACATGATGCTCCACATTCCTCATTTTAGGGAAGACAGGGCTTCTCGTAGGAGTTCTCATAAAATACAACTTTATTCTTATAATATCACAACTGTATTCTGATGATTTTACGACTTTATTCTTGTTATTTTATGACTGTATTCTCGTAATGTTACGACTTTATTGGCATAGTTTTACAACTTTATTCTCATAATGTTACGACTTTATTCTCGTAATTTTATGACTTTATTCTTGTAATTTTACGACTTTATTTGCGTAGTTTAACGACTTTATTCTCGTAATTTTACGACTTTATTCTCGTAATTTTACGACTTTATTCGCATAGTTTTACGACTTTATTCGCATAGTTTTACGTCTCATAATGTTACGACTTTATTCTTGTAATTTTACGACTTTATTCTCGTAATTTTACGACTTTATTCGCATAGTTTTACGACTTTATTCTCATAATGTTACGACTTTATTCTCGTAATTTTACGACTTTATTTGCATAGTTTTACGACTTTATTCTCATAATGTTACGACTTTATTCTTGTAATTTTATGACTTTATTCTCCTTTATTCTAGTAATTTTACGACTTTATTCTCATAATTTTACGACTTTATTCTCGTAATTTTACGACTTTATTCTCGTAATTTTACGACTTTATTCGCATAGTTTTACGACTTTATTCTCATAATGTTACGACTTTATTCTCGTAATTTTATGACTTTATTCTTGTAATTTTACGACTTTATTTGCGTAGTTTTACGACTTTATTCTCGTAATTTTACGACTTTATTCTCGTGATTTTACGACTTTATTCTCGTGATTTTACGACTTTATTCTCGTAATTTTACGACTTTATTCTCGTAATTTTACGACTTTATTCGCATAGTTTTACAACTTTATTCTCATAATGTTACGACTTTATTCTCGTAATTTTATGACTTTATTCTTGTAATTTTACGACTTTATTTGCTAATTTTTTCAACTTAATTCTAGTAATTTAACGACTTTATTCTAGTAATTTTACAACTTTATTCTTGTAATGTTACAACTTTATTCTCTTAATTTTACGACTTTATTCTCGAAATAGAAGAAAAACTCAGCCCTAGCCTGGCCCTACTAGTCGTAATGTACATTGTGTCAGTAAACAACTGTGAAAAATACAAATAAACTTTAAATGTAAAAAAGAATAGATTTAACAAGCGTTAAACATAGTGTCCATGAACTGCTTCAGCTCACACAGGACAAAGCTTTGTTTGTTTTTCTTTCTATAAGTTTTTATTGAGCAGTTTTAATGGAGCAGGCAGGTGAAGGTGAGTTAGCTACAGGATGGTGTGAGGAAGCAGCAGGCTGAAAGGCTAACAAGGTCATTCTGAGCACAGAAACCAGCTGAGGGAATAAAAACCCTTCAAACATTAAAGGTTCTCCTGTCATAACATTAAGCTAACAGCCGCTACACCTTTAAACCCGTTAATCACATTTTAGGCTTCCACTATCAAACTGGACGGTTCTGATTAAAATATAAAAATCCCAATAAAAACTTAAACTATATTTCTTTAACAACACAATGCAGCTGTATTAATATGATGTGGGTTTGAATCCCTTCGTGTTATTCCACCTGCCTCAGCTGATAACTGCTGGCTACCGACAGGCTCCTCGGTGAAACAATTTGACTTTCAAGTGCTCGAATTCTTACGCGACAGCTACGCAGGAAATCTGGTCCGCGTCTACTTTTAAACGTGGAGTTACGCTAACGGCTCACTGTCAAGTTCAACCCGCTACACTATGTCAGGAGGCAGGGCGAATATTAACATGAACTCTGACAGCTAAAACACACATTGATGTTTGATGTGACACAAAAAGACGTGACTTAACTCTTTACTTTCCCGAACGTTCCCACTCCGAGCGTGTCACCGAGAATGTAATGGCCGATCTTTACCCTGCCTTCGTGCTTCTGTTGTTGCCGCTCTGCCATCTTCTCCGTTACCGACGGCAGGGCTGGAGCGGTGAGCTGCGGTGCGCTGGGTGAGCCGTTTGGCTGCTGTCTGTGGGGCAGCACGGGGGGGGCGGGGTTTGCTGCTCTTCCCACAATAAGGAATCACGCACGACGTGAAACCGCTGCTGCGGCGATGGACGGAAATGATTGAACCGAACTACCATCCCTAAAGAGCAGCAGGAGTATTACCGGGAGCAGAGCAGCAAGAGTCTCCGCCTGGCCTCCCACAAAGGATCAACATTTTAAATACTGTCTGAAAATTCAACAGTCAAGGTTACTTATTTCCAATATTTCAAGGTCACGTTTTAACAGCATGAAAAGTCCTTGGTGAGGTTTTACAAAGGAAAAAATAACAATGTTAAAAGCACTGGCGGTTCTAGACTAAATGTATCAGGGGGCCATGAGGGGCCCAGCGTGTTTTCAGAGGGGCACAGAAAAGCATGAAATAAAAACAGGGCAATTGATTCAAATATATCAATCTAAAAGCATGAAGTGAAATTTCTATTCAATTAGATTTAATTAAAATTTAAAAATGTCTTATTGGATCAATATACATTCATAATTTGGAAATTTACATATATTTGACCTAATTTAAGCTAAAATCTGAATTAGAACAAAAAAAAATGATAAATTCAGCTTTTTTTTTACATTTAGCAGATGAAAACTGGGATCCTATCTCAATACCACTGAAGCTATCACGTTATTGTTTTTAAATAATTAGTAAAACAGAATTTTAAAGAAAAAAAAAATTTAATAGATCCAAAGGACCTATCAGTAACCATGTCTATTCCGGCACAGTTCAGAGTATTATGTCTTCAGTACAGGGGCCATAACAGGGGCCAGGACATGATATACGGGGGCACTGGCCCCTGTTGGCCCCTGTCTAAAACCGCCCATAGTTGAAAGCACTTCGGTATAAAAAAAAGGAAAAAAAAGAAAGAAAGAGCAAGTTTGGTATTTTAAGAGAGCCACAGTCGAGGTTGCAAACCCCTCATCTGACACATGAAAACTTTGATCCTATTTTAGTATTTCAATTCAGTTTATTTCTATAGCACCAAATCACAACACATGCCATCTCAAGGCCCTTTACAATTCAACCAGATCATCCAGTCAGATTGATTCAAAGTTTTCTATCTAAGGAAAACCAGCTGATTGCATCGACTCATTGACTCTTCAGCAATCCCTCACACTAAGCATGCTTGTAGCGACAGTGGAGAGGAAAACCTCCCCTTTAACAGGAAGAAACCTCCAGCAGAACCAGGCTCAGTGTGAGCGGCCATCTGCTGAGGGCCACTGGGGTTCAAGGAGACAGAAGCAGACATAGAAAACGAAGCATAGATACAAAAGGCAACTGTCAACCAGCTCCACAGGCGGCCCCGTCCAGGAAACACACAGCCAGGCAGACGAGCTCCGAGCCAGCTCCCATGTCAGAGGATGAGGATAGCACATCCAGTTAGTCACAGTCAGAGAAACAGGACTACACTGGAAAACAGGACAAGCTCCAACATCTAGAAACAAAGGTGTTGATGGCAGCAGCACAGCTGATATTTCTCTCCAGGATGGAGTCACAGCCAAACAGGAACAGACCAGATGAAGCTACTATGAGAAAAAGCAGAGAGAGCAGAACGTTAGAGATTGAACTAACAGATTCTGCAGAGTGGGAGAATAGAGATAGAATGAAGCAGAATGATGAAAAAGGGGTCCCTATGTCCTCCAGCAGTCTAAGCCTATAGCAGCAGAACTATAGAGATAGCTCGGGCCCCTGTTGGCCCCTGCCAAGAACCGCCCATGGATTAGACAGCTTTTACAGCAGAAAATAAACACATTAGAATTTCCTATTTTGAAAAGCAGCAATAAACAGTTTAATTAAAATGAACAAGAGTCTCAAGCTGCCTGTTTGTTTGTTTGTTTTTTTTTTGTTGTTTTTTTGTGATGCATTGGAGTGAGATTTATTGTGGCAAGTTTTGTTGAAAATTGCATTCCATCAAAAGACAAATGTGGGTTAAAAGTTGTCAGGGTTGAATGAGAGGACTGACCAAACCTGACTTTCCACATGTTTTTTTTTGCATTTAGCACATAGGGTAGTTGGCTTATAAGGTCCACTTATCAGTCCCATAAACCTGGAATAGCTACTTCTCTTTATTTAAAAAAAACATGTAAATCCCTTTATTGACCCACAATGGGGAACTTCACTCTCTGCATTTAAGCTCCCTTTGGGGAGCAGTGGGCTGCCATTGTGCAGGGGGTCGGGGTTAAGGTTCTCGCTCAGGGACCGCAGGCTGTTGGGATCAAACCAGGCACTTGCAACCTTCTCAGAGCACAGCGCACTGCTCTAACCACTGGGCCAACACAAGAAGAAACTTCTTATTGGATGCTAAAACTTTTTTATAAAGGACTGCTTTATAATTTCTAATGGAGATTTTTGTTTTTTTCTTTGTAAAAATGTAAATTTGTTAAAAGGCTTTTATCTTGATGGACCCATCCGTTGTCAGAAGTGATTGAAGGTCCAGACTCCACCGAGTCTAAGTGGCTTTTATGGATCAGAAAATGTCATTTTCATTTTTACATTTTTTCCAGCCTGGATCTACTTAAAGCCTTCATTTTGGGTTTTGATCACTGACTATGTCCATTAGATGCTTCAATCCAGTGGTAAGTAAGATACTATTGATCAAAGTGTATTTTACAATATAGAAAAATAAGTATAGATATAAAAGTTTATTTTATTTTTTGTAAAGGAGCAAAATGATTAATTTGATTTTATATTTTCAGTAAGTGTAGCACATACGGAGGATGTTTAACTGTGACGTCACCGGCTTCCGGGTAATTGTTTGATATTTACACATCTAGACTATTTCTCTCCTCAAAGTCCCCTTTAATAGAATCTCTCCCTTGTTTTACAGTCTCTGCCCTGCAGAAGAGGATTAGGGCCACTGAAAAAAAAAAAAAAGTTAACCGATTTTTAAATTTTATTTCAGTTTAACACAGTGGCACGGGAAGGGGGGTGCTGCGGGGGCTGCAGCCTCCCTCGTCATAGCATCAGCCCCCATGGTGGGGGGCTGTCGAGTAACATAATATTGTACTTAAAAACATGAAATTATTTATGTATTTATTTTTTAAAAGACTGTGTTTGATATGGGATTAAAATGATGGGCTGTGTATAAGATATAAACTAATGATTCATTATTTTAATATTTCATAAAAAACTAGGCTACTCCCCCGGAAGTGCTTCCGCCACCTCACATTCGTTTAGGCATGGCTAGCAATAGGCAGCAGAAACGTATTTCTGACTATTTCGAGGTAAGAAATGGTTTTAATTTCCCTATACTGCCGCCGAGCATTTATTTAGCGTTATTTATTTCTTATTTATTTATATATGCTGTGCCTATTCGTCGTAGTCCTGTGGCTGAAGAAGTCTACGCTAGAATAAGGCTGCATATCACTAAATATTATGTCTGTATTAAGCTATTTAGTGATAAAATTTGAAATTAGTAAATTTTTTTTGTGTGTGTTTTTTGTTTCAGAAATGAAATCATTTCCCATATCCATAGTCGAATGGACTTTCAAGACGTTCAATGCTCAGTTTAGGCGATATTTAGGCCATGTTTTATTCAAGTATTCATGATCCTGTTGATTGGGAGCTTTTGTTTGTTTTGAATGATTAAAAGAGAAGAAATAAAGTTTAAAATGTTCATGCTTTGTTCCGATGCATTTTAAATGGCAGTTTTTTGCGAAAAATGTAGGCCTACAATATTCTGTTAAAAATGTCAGCAACAGCCCTCAACATAATGACGTCATGTGTTTTCCAACCCAGCCATCAGCCCCCCTCGCTTGAAACAGCTTCCAGCGCGCCTGGTTTAACATGAGAAAAAAGTCAGAATTCTGACTTTAATCTCAGAATTCTGACTTTTTCCCATACTAAACTGAAATAAAATTTAAAAGTTAACTTTTTTTTTTTTTTTTTTTTCAGTGGCCCTAATCCTCTTCCATTCACATCTCTTCCTTCATGGTGCCCATACATTAAGATCCAAAATTCTGAGATTAAAGTCAGAATTCTGAGAAAAAAGTCAGAATTCTGAGATCAAAGTCAGAATTCTGACTTTTTTCCCATGTTAAACTGAAATAAAATTTATAAGTCAGTTAACTTTTTTTTTTTTCAGTGGCCCTAATCCTCTTCCGTACTGCCCTTTATTCAGACTCCATCTATTCTTTTTGAAGACCGTCTCACTCACCTCTATTCATTTTTATGGCTCTTATCCCTGAATGGTTTGATTTTAATTAACCTCCCACCTATCTGAACAGCTGGTGGATATGTTTAACCAGGCTGTTTATAAGTGTAGTCATTGGGGAGCAATCTGCCATGAAAAAGGCACATAAAGGACAGCTGCGTGTTTACTGTGTCACAAGGCGCACTGATTTAAAGAACATTAAACACACTTGTTAATGTTCAGCAAATCACTACGGCTGTGTTTTGCTAAAAAAATAAAAATAAATAATGGATCACTGATCATTTGGTTTTACAAATAGTGGATTACTTTTTATCTGAGAGTATCTATTAAAACATCTATGTTTAAATTTAAATACCTGTTTAATTATTTGCATTTACAGTGTTGGCCATTGAAGCTTAAAAAATGCCAAACAATTGCATTACTTTACCCTTTATAGGATAATTTAGCGTTTTTAATCACTTGCATACCCCTTACAAATGTTACAAAGGTAATAAGCTCTTGTCCTGGATTCCAATAACACTATTGGATTGAAATGTGGATTTTCAAAGTATTTCACTGAGGTTAAAGTGAACTTCTCCCTATTAACCACTAGATGGCAGTGTGTACTTTATTTATTTTAAAATGCTCCCACTTTGGAGCATTTTCTCAGAGGGGAAACATCTACCAGGTCTGAGTTAAGTTAGGGTCTGAGTTAGGTTAAAAATAGATTTTTGAAAAATGATCATACGTGTGTTGACCAGCACAGGCTCCACTCAGAGCTGTTTAGTTGTTAATAGAAGAAGTGGTCTGCACGTGCTCAGCCTCATATCCAGAGCTTTTATAAACAAGACATATGAGCAGTGCATCCAATCAGTCAAATCAGGGTTTGTTGGTTAGAGCAGTGCGCTTTTGCTCTGAGAAGGTTGCAATACCTGATTCAATCCCCACAGCCTCCACTCTGGGTCCCTGAGCAAGACCCTTGACCACACACTGCTCCCCGGGTGCCGCACGCCAATTGTACTCCCCAAGGGGATGGTTAGATGCAGAGAGTGAATTTCCTCATTGTGGGTCAATAAAAGAAATAATTTTCAGTCCTTCATTTACACATTCAAGCATCATGGGGGGAGTATCATGGTTTGTCTCTGCTTGAGGGAATTTGGTCACAGGGCAGAAATCCAACATGATGACAACCCAAACACATCTCTAAGACAACCATTACCTTCATATATCTATTAACACAGCCAGGTGCCCAGGCCCCTGGCAGAGCAGAGCGGGACAGAAAGAGATTGAACAAACAGGTGAGAAAGGCCGTTTCTGTCCTAGGCTGCACTCTGGACTCAGTGGACTCAGTGGCTGAGAGGAGGGTGCTGTCCAAGCTTATATCCATCATGGACGCCACCATCCACCCTCAGCAGCAGACTAGAGAGGAGCTGAGCAGCTCCTTTAGTCAAAGACTTTTACACCCTGATTGGAAAAAGCAGCGCTACTGCAGGTCATTCATCCTGCTGCAACCAGACTCTACAATGAGACACTACAACCCCAATAACTGCTGCAATGGAGAATACGGATATAAAATGTATAATTATCTCTGCTTCTGTCTCCTTGAACCCCAGTGGGCCTCAGCAGATGGCCGCTCACACTGAGCCTGGTTCTGCTGGAGGTTTCTTCCTGTTCAAAGGGAGTTTTTCCTCTCCACAGTCGCTACAAGCATGCTTAGTGTGAGGGATTGCTGTAGAGTAAATGAGTCGATGCAATCAGCTGGTTTTCCTTAGATAGAAAACTTTGAATCAATCTGACTGGATGATCTGGTGAACTGGAAAGTGACCTGAGATGACATGATGTGAATTGGCGCTATAGAAATAAACTGAATAGAATTAAATTAATAGAGACAGAATAAAGCAGAATGATGAAATGGGGGTCCCTATGTCCTCCAGAAGTCTAAACCTATAGCAGCATAACTATAGAGATAGCTGAGGATTAAGAATTAATGTGCAATTACTATTTAATACCCTGTGCAATAATCTGCTTTTCTATATTTAGTACCTATATTTAGTATATTTAGTAATTATATATACTATATATAATTCTCTATATTTGGTAGTGCAATAAACACCCATGTATATTAATACCCTGTGCAATAACTCCCCCACGCACCTTTTCTTCCTTTGGCAGATGCTGATGTAATGACTAAATTTCTCCACTGTGAGATCAATAAAGACAATCAATCAATCAATCAATCAATAATGAAATGGAGATTAAAATTGTTGGACTGCACAATACTTTCGGACTGCCTGTCTGTCTCATTAAGATATATAGGCTAAATGCAGAATTAAAATTCCCCCTGGTTGTAGAAACAAACAGTATAAATGATCTGTTGGTTCCAGGTTTCAGCATCTCCATCCCCTGAGGCATCGCTTTTTCTCCAAACTAAGTGCGGTCGGCCTGTAGGGGCCACGGGGCCACTCCGATCAGAGCGCACTACCCTCTGCTGGTGGAGGGAGGAGGAGGAGGAGGGCCGAGCGATGCCGGGGGGAACTTGAAGGGAGCAGGAGGAGAGGAAGGATTGATATAACCAGAGCGGCTGTCCATGAGCAGCGCACTTTTCTCTCGCTCCGTTTGCGCACATAGAGCGGCTTTCCATTCATTTCAGCCTCTGCTGGCGCGGATCCGCTCAACTTTTTACGCGCATTTAAGTTTTCTTTAAACGTTCCTAGTTTACAGTTTTACATAAGAAAACAAGACTAGATAAGAGAATAAGAAACTCTGCTGGATCTCCGGGTGGGAAAGTTAGAATTTAAAGGGACTTTTTGAGCCATTTTTCCTCCTCAGACCTGCAGCGCGCTGCGGGACTCCGAGCCGAAAGCTGCCCGTTCTCCAATGCAAAAGTACGTTTATGAGAAAGCGATGGCCCAAGAGACAAGGAACGGAGGAAACTCTACGTTAAACAACAACAGCGGGCTGGACAAAAGCAGAAAGAAGCTGCTGGTTGCGCTCGACATCTTCTGCCTCCTGCTTGGTGAGTTTCCATTGGATTTCCCTATCTCTGTTTGAGGTGACATCACAGCGGCTCTCATGCAAAACTCTCATCCCAGTGATCCTTTATGTCAAACTTATGAGCAAACAGACAAACCCGCGCTTTCTGATGGCTGCCATTAAAGGCGTTATCTGCTGTAAAGCTTGGCAGCTGTCTGCACGCGCTGGGCAGCATCTTCTTATCACCCAGCTCCAACTGAGCTTTGCCAAAGGAGGGACACCAAGAAATACACTTTCTAGAGAGACTTTTCTGCTTTTAAAGGGGGAAACACATCATTTCTAACCACACAAAAAATGCAATGACACATGTTATAAACTTAAAACCATTAAACCAATCTATTGGGAAAGATAATTATCCTGTCATCACCTGATGTTCTGATCATTTTAAAGCACTTTTGCTCTCTGTCAGGTGATTTCCGACACACCTGGGCAAAAATAAAAACTGCAAAGTCAGATTTCTCTTTACTGGCTTTTATCAGTCAAATGCTGTAATAGAACTAACATAATTTCGTCTGTTTATGCATAAACCAACAACACAGGGAAGATATTTGTTTTGTGTTCAGTGCATATCAGATAAAGGTCAGAGTCATTAAACTTTAATGCACATTTGAATGTAATTTATTTACTTTCTGACTGAATGGAAGCTGCTTGTTTTATACGTCTGTCAATATTTGTGCTAAAATATTCTTTCTTTGATGATTTGTGGACATTAAGATCTAAAGAGAAGCATCATCTCCTGTCAGACCCTGTAATTCAGAGAAGGGTGGAGTCAGAGTAAAGAAATATGCAAGAGGGGGTCACTGCAGTGGCTGGAAGCTGGAGGGGAATTCGCTGGGAGTTGCAGGGAAGTGGGCTTCCATTCAGCTGGTGTTTGACGGGAAGGGCCATTTGAATGGCTGTAGTGTTACAGTCTTTAGAATGGAAAAATTTGTTTAAAGGCTGTAAAATTCAAACAGCAGCCAGAAGCCTGATCAGTGCATATCTAGTCGGACTGATGTCTTGCTCTCTCCTCTACCCGGCCCTCATTTACTGGCCTGAAAATAGCCCCCCACCCTCCTGTCTTCCATGGCGTGCCCCAGTTACCCTGTTACTGTGAACTTTGACCTCCATAGGTTCCTGGCAGCTAGAGATGTCCTTTCTCAGAGCTGAGGTGAAAATCTGACTGCTATCAGTATTGATTTACAGCTTGACCCAGAATAAGAGGCCGGGGGTCTGGGCTTGCTTTTTTTTTTTCTGATGTCCACTTTGTTGCACTCAGTTCAAACTTTGTATTCAGCTAGTGTTCCTTCCAGATTCTGGGCTTGGTGTGTGTGCTTCTTTGATAGCTGCTGTCACTGTTGCCCGCTCCTTTTTAGGTTTCCAGCTCCAGCGGCCCCCAGTTTTCAATCCCCTCTGTCTCCGCTTTTTCTTTTCTCTCTTTTTTAAAGAAGAGGATTATGGGAGTTGAGCTTAACTTCTCCACATTCTCTCACTGAACTCCTGCAAAGCTCTGGCCAGCTGCCCCCTGATCACTTTCCTTCTCCCTCTCTGTCCCAGTGAATAATTTCTTAAGCAGGTGCTGGGGTAGAGGAATGCCTCTCTAGGAGATGCCTGGCTGAGCGGGTGTCAGTGGAGCATGTGGGAGACCTAGCGACAGCCCCACATGAATAGGAAATATGACTTTGCTGCACAGAAGCAAACTTTTATTACCCAGACAGCTACAAATGGAGCGGATTAACTTTTTAAAAACTCACCAGCGACAGCAGATCTGCCAGACAGATGCAGAGTTTTCCATGTAAACCAGTTTTCCTTTTTTAAAGAACCCCCAGACAGATATACAGCGTTTCATCTGTGCTCGTATAAATGTGGAATAGCTTTGAGCACATGTGGAGTGAATTTCCTGCATAAACCAAACTTCCTTTACTGGTTCATCTAGAGTCACACACCAACATGCTTGTAAACACACACACATACAATCATGTAAATACACAATCGCAAATGGGCGCACAAATTCTCCTTTGTCATGCTAAACACAGTCTGGCTCTCGGGTGATTATTGGTTGGCCCACTTTAGCGGTTTAGGGGGTAGGTGGGTGGGTGGAGGGGTGGGGAGGTAGAAGAGAACAGAAGGGAGGGTTGGGGTTATCAGGCGCTGTGAATGAGGAGCGAGGAATGCGGGCGTGCAGAGGGCTCAGATGCAGGCCTGGTGTTGTTGAGCAGCTTTTGTTCACTGTGCTGTAGAAGAAAGGGTTGCAAATACTCTGCAATCAGTGCATACATTAATACCCCATTAGCTTTAATTAGTTAGTATCAGCCAGCTGAGATCCACACATGCAGAAATGGGCGGTGACATATTTCAGTCAACCCAACCGCCGCATTACCTCAGGCAACACCAAGAAGTCTGGGTAAAGCAAGGCTGGTTATCCATAATAAACACGTGAAATACTGATCCAGATCGCTTCATTTTCAGGCTCCCTTATTCATTTTGCAGCACCTAAATGTTATAGATCATCAAGCAATTTTAACATTAGATATTGATAACTTAAAGGAATAGTACACCCAAGACATGATTAGCCTTCATTTTCTACTCACCCCCATGCTGAGCAACACTCTAGAGTACTTTTTTGATATCTCAAATGCATCTGGAGATCTGGGAGGCTTCTTGCTGTCTGCTGACATTCAAATAATGGAGGTCTATGGCGCCCGAGGCAGAAAGGTCCATAAAAGTCCACAAAAAACGTGTCAATATTCCTCCATACTGCTCGTCCAATGTATTCCAAGTGTCCTGAGTGGGTAGCGTCCAGAATTTACTCGAAACAAAGTCATTTAGAAAGTTTTTAGAGCATAAACAGTAGTGTATAGGATTTCCTGAAAGCGCGCACATGCGCGATCCCGACGCTACGGAAACCGCGGCAGACCAAACCAGCGCATTCAGCTCGGCAAAGAACTCATGCTCTTCCTCAACACTGAAGTCCTCAGACATTTTTCTTTCGTTGTTTCTTTCTTTGCACAGGTAAACAGCACATTTCTTCTTCTACGCTTGCATTATTGGAAGAGCAGACGCTGAATGCGCACTTTCATCTGGTTTGGTCTGCCGCGGTTTCCGTAGACTCGTGAACGCGCTTTCAGGAAATCCTATACACTACTGTTTATGCTCTAAAAACATTCTAAATGACTTCGTTTGGAGTAAATTCTGGACGCTACCCACTCAGGACACTTGGAATACATCGGACGAGCAGTATGGAGGAATATTGACACGTTTTTTGTGGACTTTTATGGACCTTTCTGCCTCGGGCGCCATAGACCTCCATTATTTGAATGTCAGCAGACAGCAAGAAGCCTCCCAGATCTCCAGATGCATTTGAGATATCAAAAAAGTACTCCAGAGTGTTGTTCAGCATGGGGGTGAGTAGAAAATGAAGGCTAATCATGTTTTGGGTGTACTATTCCTTTAAGTGAATTCAATAATGATCTTAAATATCAAGGCTTAAGATTATCCAAATGAGAGTTTCCCTGTATGAAAAGTTCTCTTATGATGAATTAGCTGTGATTAACTAGCCTGGTGAGACCATCCTGATCTCGCGAGCTTTCAAGGTTTCACTTGCTAATCAGTCTGGAGACTCTCCGTTAAAGAAAATTTGGAGCCGTTCACCAAACGAACGTCCAATCAGCGTTGGCTTTGAGGCGGGTTGAGGTGTGACGCAACGAGAAGCGCCACAGTTCAGTCTAAAGAACGTGGCGGCTTCAGCCGATGAAACTAGCGTTAGCGTGGCTATCGAGCAAGTTTTATCGGAATTACAGAGTATTTCTTCACTGAAGGAAGAGCAAAACACTGCTCTGGAGGCTTTTCTCAGAGGAAAACATGTTTTTGCTCTTCTCCCGACTGGTTTCGGCAACAGTTTGATCTATCAATTGGCTCCTCTTCGTCGTCGCTCTGTTAGTACGTCATATGCTTCGTTGATCTGATTGGTTTATTTGGCCCGTCTATCACCAACATAGGCCAATCAGCTAACCAGTATTTTCGCCCCTTCCCAAAATTACTGCAACGGAAGGTTGTCGGAGTCAGGTTAGTGATTAACAGAGTCAGGTTAGTGATTAACAGAGTCAGGTTAGTGATTAACATCTTGTGAACGGCCAAGTTCAGTTATAGTAGCCAGACTCCAGGCCTGATCACTGTCAGACCTGTAAAGTGATTTCAATTCAATTCAGTTTATTTCTATAGCGCCCAACACGTCATCTCACGGTACTTTACAGTTCACCAGTGTAGTGGTGTAGACTGCTACGCTACCACTGCCATATTTGGCTGTTGCTATATGATATTTTTCTTAAATGAAATGTTAATTTACAACAGACATAACAAAACCTAGGTTTTCATTGGCCTCTTTGATGAGTTGTTGATGGATTATTTTAGGTATGACAGCTACTTCTTTGGTTGGCTCTTCATTGGCTCATCTCTTCACCCTTTATTATAGAAGGGCTCTCACTGTGGTTCACTAAAGCATGGACGCCTTCAAATAGGCTATGAAAACCTTTCAAGACTAATAAAGATCAGGTCATTTGTTGCACAGCTGCTCTTTATTTTTTGATTGTGATATTTTAGTCTACTTTATGATCTGTTTAACTGACTTTTAAGGCTAGGCTTAAAACTTTCCTTTTTGATAAAGCTTCTAGTTAGAGTGGCTCAGGTTATCCTGAGCTATCTCTATAGTTCTGCTGCTATAGGCTTAGACTGCTGGAGGACATAGGGACCCCTTTTTCATCATTCTGCTTCATTCTATCTCTATTCTCCCACTCTGCAGAATCTGTTAGTTCAATCTCTAACGTTCTGCTCTCTCTGCTTTTCCTCATAGTAGCTTCATCTGGTCTGTTCCTGTTTGGCTGTGACTCCATCCTGGAGAGAAATATCAGCTGTGCTGCTGCCATCAGCACCTTCGTTTCTAGATGTTGGAGCTTGGCCTGTTTTCCAGTGTAGTCCTGTTTCTCTGACTGTGACTAACTGGATGTG